CGTTCAAACTATTGTTTCGAACCTGATTCAAATCCTAAGTATAAAACATGCTTGGTAAATTTTAATATTTTTTCCTAACTGTTTATTGCTACGTTATGGCATACTTACAAAGCTCAGAATTGTATAATTTAAGACTTTTCATACCACAAATCTATTGATTTTTAGATTCTAAATCAATTCTGAGGGGAAATAGGTACCAGGATTATAATTTAATACGCCAGACGCGCATTTCGTCTTCCTAAGGCTCATCAGTGACGCTCAGATCTAAATAGTTATTAAGCCAAACCAGTACAAAGTTGAAGAGCATTGAGGACCCAAAATTCCAAAAAGTTGTGCCAAATACGGCTACGGTAATCTATTTCTGGGATAAGAAAATCCTTAGATTTACGAAAAATTTAAAGTTTTGTCAACAGGAAATTTACTAAAATGACCATATAATTGATATTCATGTCAACACCGAAGTGCTGACCACTGGGCTGGTGATACCCTCGGGGACGAAACGTCCACCAGCAGTGGAAAAAGTGTTTAAGAATGACAATACATGTCAATTTAATTGTTTACAGTCCTTAGCAACCAAAACTAGACATTTTGACACAATGCTTATATTTGTACTATATTGGCCTAACCCTTACTTCTGAATGATTGAGCTGTATTTAGTAGCCTAAATATTGAACGCTGAGTATTTTGAATATTCATAATATATTACAGACAATACCGGTTAAACTTCGTGTATGTTATTTCTAAGCAATAATCATACGATTTTGTAATACATTTTTTACCTACGCCGCCAAAGGGTTTTATGGAAGGGAATGATAAAATATTTGGTCTGCAGCTTGATAATGTTGAGTTGAAGCGAGAAAGCAATTTAAACATCCGCCATGCAGCTACTTCCTGTTTGCCGATCGTTTGAAATTTTACAACAATCATTGTACAAGGAAATTTTTCTTTAAACTTGTCTTGGCTTCTATCAAGGGGAATGATTTAGTATTTGGACTGCAACTTGATATTGTTGAGTTGTAGTGAGTAAGTAATTTTTACATCAGCTGTGCATTTGACTTCCTGTTTCAGTTATTGTGCTAGGAAAATTTTCGTCAAACTTTTCCTGACTCCTATTGAAGGGAATAATTTAATATTTGGTCTGCAGCTACATAATGTTGAGTTGTAGCGAGTTATCAATATTCACATCCACCGTCCAGCAACTTCCTGTGCCGATAGTTTGAAATTTTACTGAAGGGAGCTAATTAATTTTTATTCTGCAGCTTGTTTATGTTCAATTGTAACAAGTTATCAATTTTAACATCGGCCATACAACTTCTTCCTGTTTGCCGATATTGTACAACAAAAGTTGACACATTATTGATCAGTTTTGCTTTAGTATGCATGTTACCACAATCAATTTCATGCAGCGACGCAGGTCCAGACACGGTATTGGTCTTGTTTTTAACCAGAAAGGATTCTAAGCGCACCTCCTCTTTTGTTAGGAACCCCCTTTTTTGTCTTGTCCTCTCGAAAGATTTTATGAATTATTATTCAAATGATTACAAGAACAAGTCGGTCAGCAAGCTTAGTCTACTTAATGGCATTTGTCATTTTATCCTAATAAAACTGAGTTTTATCTTCTGAGATATTGAGATGCCAGATCTTTACTTATCCATTAATGAGACAAATGTTCCTATAACTATATCTCATAATCCCCTGGGATCCAGTAATGACGCAAAATGGAATAATCATATGTATATCATACATTACAATTACAAGTGTAAACAAACGCATAAATGTATTGCGTAAACTTAAATACTGACTGTCTCCAATTAATTTAGAAAAACTTTCGAAGTGCTGCAGGTTGCAATTCTGTAAATATAGACAATGCAATTTCCCATAGGAACTCCCTTTGCGGCTAAAACTGCCACTTTTACTAGGAAGTTTCGTGAAAAATTATATCCCAGAACGGAAAGTTGATATGCACTACTATTTTATTCAAAGGTCAAAATATAAGGCTGTGCGGCATATTTTCAACATTTATGTGCCCTGAAAATCTAAGAGTTTAAACTTATACTAAAATTCTGTACTACCCCTACCTCCACTTATGGACCTCCTAAGAATTAAATTTTAGGCGCTACCATTTTTTTCTATACTGGTAACATTCTCAAGTTATGTCTCTATGAGATGAAACACAGAGATCATATCTGGGAACCAGTACGTTAACAAATTAACATATCTATGAATATTATAGATCTCCCCAAAAGAGGCGTGGCTTGTGAAACAGCTGTATTTACAAAGTGCAACCTGCAGAAGTGTGGAACAATTTAGGGACATGCTATTCAAACAAACTTTAACTCAATTCCGATGCTTTGTGTCATTCGTAAACTATGACCTTTTGAGAGCAAACATTATAACGTATCTTTAGTCAGTTTTGGGCAGATAAGAAGAATGTTCATCATTTCCGTGTTGTTTCTTTTGGTTCAAAATAGACTACCTAATTCAAAAATTCTAATTGGATACCCGGAAACTATGTTTTTTATATAAAAAAAACCTGTTAACTTGCGAAAAATATCTGAATTTTCGAACATGTTCAAGATTTAAAAAAAATGTTTTTTCTTTTATAAAGTGTGATTGTTGCTGGCACAAATCATGGAAACCTACGTTATCAACTAAAATAATATTTTCACTGTTTTCTTCTGCTTAGATATAAAGAACAGGGTACAATGGACAAAAAAAAAAACAATCAATAAATAAAAGTGGCCTAAAGATAAATTTTTGAATAACTATGGTTTCTAACAAAGAAGGATGTCTTACGCCTTTCAGATACTTGCATCTATATTTACCATTTTACAGTAGAAATGCTGTTTAAGAGAAGATAAAAAAATGCTGCCCATCGGAAACAAATACGTCCTAATTGTAGAAAAAAAAAACAACGTCTAAAGAATGTATTACATATTATTTTGGTACTTATTACTTATTATCAAAGATAAAAAAAAAAATAATAATGCCATTAAGTACCTTCTGTCTACTGCGTTTTCTATACTATTCTTGCTAGGATTTTTCATGAAATCTAAACAGTCATTACATTGTATGTTTGAATTATCAAACTTTTTTGAATATTTCAAAATCATTTATTTAAGAGCAACTTTCAATTGTTCTTCTTATGACCATTAGTCTTTCATTTATCACTTCATTTCCGTATACCTTTTATAATTCCCTTAATTGTCACTTTTAGTTTTCAAATAGTCCCATAATACGTACATTAAGGTCGTTCTAAACGAATCTAATTAAATAGCTTATACTACACTAGTTCAAGAACAACCCCTACTCTTTTTCGGTAAAACAATCTGCTTGCAAGAAAGTCAAACTCGTATTTTCATTGAGTGTTAAACCTCAATTGAGAAAGCGTCTAGGTAGAAAGCATTTGCCAAGAAAATTCAATGAAACCAAATTGATTAGTCTGAAAATTGTCCTCATAACAGTATGCTTTTTAAAACAGAGACGGTAGAATTGAGTACAAAGCAGGTAAAAATAGTTTTGATAATATGATTTGCTTTTGATTAAAATAAGATTAAAGCGAACCAACTTTTGTGCTTTACAGGAAAAGGACTGGGGTCAATCACTAGGTTTTCCCTAATTCTTCGCTGATTATAGAATCTACAACATCTTCAGAGACGTGTTTGAATATTAAGATCGATTAATTTATGGCATTTCTTCTCTTTCTCTAGTGTTGTCAATATGATCCAATTAATATGTTTGCCACTATAGAAACAATTCGTCAGTTCAGCCAAAAAACATTCGCGGTAAAACAAATATCAGAACCGTAGAGCTGTTGCGGTTAACAACGTCCTTTAAAATGGATATTCAAACAGTTCCTTTAGATTGATGAACAATTACCTATTGTTTTTACAAAATACGATATCATCTGTCTTGCCTCATTTTTTTTTTTTTTTTTTACTCAATATCTTTTAAAAACGACGTTTAAATTTGACACTTTCAAAGATTATAATTAAGTTCATATCATTCAACACAATAGAGAGGTATTGTAGAGTTCCAACCCCCAGAGATCACATGACGTAGAAGTTATAAACAACTATAGGTCACCGTACGGTCTTCAACAATGAAAAATAACCAATACCAATAAGCCAGCTATAAAAGGCCTCGAAATGACACATGTAAAACAATTTAAACGAGAAAACCGAGAGTTATGTGCAAATCAATAAACGAACAAAAAATTGTACAGCAACAAAGGACAACCACTGAATTAGAGGCTTGGGACACAACGTGGCACATTTCTATACTAAATAAAGGCAACAGTAGTATACCGCTGTTCAATAGTCATAAATCGATTTAACTGAAACAAATCCGGGTAACAAACCAAAACCGAGGGAAACACATCAACTATTAGAGGAAAACAACGGAACAACACAAACACTGAACTGCTGAAAAACAAACGCCAACATACATAGAAACGGTCTATTTGATAACAACTGCCATATTCCTGACTTGGTTCAGGACATTTTAAGAAAAAGTGGTGAGTTAAACCTGGTTTTATGGCTAACCAAACCTCCCGCTCATATGGGAATGTTAAAAATATCGCTAAAATGATAACATTACGTGACAGGAATACATTACAACTAGAAACGCAAGAACACTCAAAACAGAGACATACATAAATAAATAATACAATAGTACATTACAACATGTTAACCACAGAATAATAAAGACTCTAGTTTAGTTTAAATATATTTTATTTTTGCTGAGCATGTAACAGAAAGGATTAGACATACGAAATAATGTAATTATATTGTGACTTTTAGTAATAAATTTAAAAGTCTATATAAAAAGGCCCTTCTATGCATATCAATTCAGAGAAAAATTGTTCATACTTCATAACGTCATTTTGCGAAAATGAAAAAATAACGATCACTCTTAAGAGAGCGGAAACGATCGTACGCCCGACTAGCACTTCGTTTTCTTAAGTATTTCCCGTTAAAAAGTATTGTGATAATGTTTGGTCAGTCACTTATATGGAAAAAGATATTGTGAATCATTCTTACATTACTTTGGATTGCTTTGTATGTATTTTGTACTTTGTCTAACGTTTTACGTATACAAATGTTCTTTCAGGTGATTACGTGAATTCACATTTTGTGAGGAATTAATATTTAAGATAATGTTCAAGGAAAAATAACATTTAAAAATAGGTCAACATGAAAATGTATGAGGACCTTATTATAACAACGCCCGATGAACATATTTACAGTGAGCATACATATGACACGGTTGACGTAAGAAATAGTTTAAAAATTCCGGTCAAGTGGAAAACAAAACGTCGTGTGATCGTCCTCCTTGTTTTTATCTTTGCTTTTACGACAGTATTCACAGCACTACTCATAATCAAAGGTTGGTACAATTATGTTAAATACACTGTTGATAATTTTTTTAATTTTTGTCAGATGATAAAGGAGTAAAAACCCGGTAGGGTTTTCCTTTTTTATTTCTCGCATTTCAATATTCTTATTGTAATAACTCAGAAATATACAAAGGTTGAAGTTGTTTTTTTTTTGCATTTTCTCCGAATAGAATTGAATCCAATTTCCACTTCACTTTTGTTTTACTCGCATATTCCAAATCAGGAAGCGGTTAAGTAGTGGTCCATAAAAGAATCATGCAAAATCCAAATTTGAGACACACTTCATGAAAGGCTACAAATGTTTATTTTTGTCAATCAGTTGTTATATCGGTGTACTTGAAAGGAATGAGAAACATTTTTCATTTTCTGTCTTACCAGGACAAATAATTGACATACAGTAGATTATGGCAGATAATATTGGAGTTATCTCCCTCAACTTGAGTTTTATAATGCATTCTATAGAATTAATATCTCACCTTCTAAGAGTCCATGTTAAAACTCTATATAAATTGCTTCATAATTCTATATCTTAAATAAGATTTCAGATTATTTTCTGTGTAGGTTTTCCACCCATGAATCACATTTTGCATGTTTCTTATATGTAGTGGTACTTGAAATCTATTGAACTTGATAATTAAAAAGCCGTTATATCATATTTTAAACCTTTTTGAACAATTTTAATTATACCCTGGATCCATATTTCATTAAGCACAAAACGTTGCTGAAGACAATTTTGAAAACCTTTTATCAATCTTTCATATTATTTTTACTTTATGCATGGACGTACTTCTTATACCAAAAAGAATAAATTTGTACCTGAAAATCTATTTAGTCATATCCTACTTCCCAGTAGAATTTATGCTTTGTTTTAAAATGTCCATCTTAAGAAACAAACAGGTAGAAATTCAAAAGCAGCCACCACATCTATCAAAACTGCAGCTTTCAGAAATCTGTTGGCATTTATGGTTTGGTTATATGAATAACCTTAAAAAATTGTAAGACGAACATCTGTTTACACATGCAGCTGTGATGCCGAGAATTTGATTGAATATTGAAAGACTTTTTATTCAATGAGCTCTGGTAAAAATAAATTCTGGAAAAATTGGTCTTAACTATTTGGCCATCGCGTAGAATTAAAACAAGTTTATCATAAGGATATCACGAATTTAAGACAAATTTGTCATTATGCGGTAACGTCATTGATTTATGCCTGAGTGTTACAGCAATTTGTGTATAGCTAAAAACAGAAACCTTTAAAAACAGAAATTATATTGGGCTGTATGTTTTATTTGTTAAAATTATGTAATTACCGGCAAGAGATAGCACGTACGTATATATAGCTGACTATAATAGGTCCCGCAGCAATATATGAGATATTTGCAAGTTCCATGTATTTTTCATTTGAGTTTACTTTTCTTTTCAGAAAAAATGTCAAACACTAATGACACAACTTACAACCAACAAACGACTTCGCCATTCCCTCGGGGAATAACGAGGACTCAAATAAATGATACAGACAAATCAGGTAAATCAATAAAACTGCAATTTGTTAATAATCAATGGGAAACCTTGCTGGATGTGTAATTAATAATCATCGTGAATTTCATATTTTTACTTTATTTCACTTTATTTAGGAAGCAGTAGTTTACCGATGTTCAAATCTCATATTTCGATTAGTAAGATACAAATCAAGGTAACAAAAAAAACTGAATTGCATGAACTACTAAAGGAGCGAGATCGACTGCTTCGACAGGGTAAGCTAGCACGCATGCATTACCCACCATGCGAATCCATTTAAATAGAAATAAAAGTAACCGCTCGAATCTTTGCTTTTAAAAAGTGTCATACAAGAAAGGTTGTTTACATGATTGCTGTAAGGTATTAAGTATAGCATGACATATATTGGCAAGTAAGAATTTTTTTTCTTTATCAAAATTTCGATTTCACAATTATGTGCCAGTCTTTGTAAGAATCAGGCAATTTAAAATAATTTCAAAACATGGTCGGAAAAAAAACGCACCGACCTAATCATCCTTTTTTGAAGTTACCCTCATCATGAGTTAGAAATGGTAAGTTTTTCGTTTCTTCGTGTCTGGTAATTCGAGAAATCTCTAGATAACTTTTGGTTAGAATAATAGCAGGAAAAGGAAACGAATGGTTTATTCGTGCATCATTATACATTTTGAATTTAAATTAATGTCTAATTGAGCGGGTTTACTGCCTGATTCTTATGCAGACTGGCACTTAATCACTTTTATCTACAGTAAGTTGGACATTAAGGAAAGGATAATATTTTTTGGGTTTTTTTATTGCTAGTATTTGAGCATTTCATAGCTTTAACATATTGTAGATTCATTATTACTCGTGGAATACCAATTTTCGTGGATTTCATGGGGATTTGTGAACCACGAATGTAAGGGTTCAGTGAAGTACAAATTCCCAATAGGCTTGTATGCAAATTTTGGCAAACCACAAAAGTTAAGTATCCACGAAAATACAATCTTTCCTCAATCCACGAAAATGTGTAACCACAAATGAATTCACCGTAAATGGATTGGTGGATTGGTGTGAAGCGTTCACTGGCAATTATTATATACATATCTGGATGAGAAAATGTTAGTGTGATATAAATATGAACCATCCTTTGTATTATACCCACACGCTAAGCAGAAATATAACGTGCTCGTTCAAAAGGCTTCATAAAAAAACATATACGTAATGACGATAACTCACACTGTCAATTGCCCTTAGTGAGCTGATAAAACATAAAGGCATTGCCTAATTTGTACAGTTTGTTCTTATACGTGTCTCAAATTAGAGAGAGTCGGCTGCTCCCAAACATGTTAAACTCCGCCATATTCTATGTTTATATCTAACGCCTGGAGTTTGAAATCAAGTAGTTGTCGTTGGTCGCTGTCTGTCTTACTAATATTCAGTGATAATTAGGCCGTTGGTATTCTCATTTGAGTTGTATAATATTTTGTCATCCCAGACCTCTATTGCTAATCATACGTATTAATTTTGCTTTCTGATTAAGGCCGAACGGTGTCTTGTAATTATTCCGATCATTGTCTTGATCTTTAAGGGATGGTTGTCTCTTTTGTTACCAAACTACAACGACAACCACAGAATAACAGACTCCTGAAAGGGGACAGACACATAAAGAAGGAGGCGTGGTTAGACATTTTATGAGCGCTGAACCGTCCCCTAACCTGGGACCGTTTTGTAAAAACACAACCTAAGAACAAACTATACAAATCAGTTGCAAAAGGCTTATCTCAATAGATCGAAACGAGGCTTAAAAACAACTTACATAAAAAAAAATAATTACACACAGCACCGATATAAGAGTATTCGCAGTAACTGAAAGCTAGTTAAAAGGCAAGTACAACTAATAAATAAATCATGTTCTCCCATCCTAAAGTTTCAATCAATACATATCCAACGGAAATCATTATCAGTCTCAGAAACGCATGACCTATGTCTTCTTCTGAAGCCTATGCAGGTTTTGCTTTCATTTACTAACTTTCTTTCGAATAAATACTATATTTCACCAAATGTTTGCGCTCTTTTCTGAATATTTGCCAAAAAATGACAAACTTGTTTAATTCGTCAGGTATCTAAGCATTTTCTATGTCGTCATTATAACGAAATCAAAGAGCTAATTTTCGACATTTAAATTTGAACTATAAAAAACATAGAAAAAGAATATCAAATGTTGGTTATCAAATATAAAGAAAGTGTGAAGAAAGGTCAAATATCTGACTAGAATTAATAATAAACTATATTGTTCAAGAAACTAGTCACATGTTCCTGTATACATTTTAGGTGTAAACTGTACAACTGGCTGGATAACAACTTCTGGTTTGAGATCCTGCTATCTTTTCAGTAACGATGACGATGCAACAGATTGGAAAGGAGCGCAGGTAGTGATACTTTTGCTTTTCGATACCGGTTTTTTCAAGAATAATGAAATTTGATAAAAAAAAATTATATATAATTCATGTTAAAGTGAAAACTCTTATGGGTGTAACGAAGTGTAATATGAATAATTGCGTTAATTATGTTGTCATATCCTGAAAAATAAGGCTCGTTTATTATTATATTGCAATTGAATAACTCTAGTAGATATCAAGTAATATGAAATTTATATTCGATTTGAAACCTGTAAATATATAGAAACTTTGGAATAGTATTTATAAACAAAATGTTTGATATAGCGAGCAAGGAAATATGCAGAGATACAAAAATCTAAATGACACATGGAAAAGACACTAGAAATAATTATGAATTTTAGTAGACACATCTCTCATTTATAACGAGTTATATGAATTTTAATCATGAGCAATAAAATAGAATAGCCATAAGAGACGACCAATTAATTTGGTATGGTGGGGAGGATGATTTCGAAGTTGAATAACTTAGCCTGGTAAGAACTGAAAATAAACTTTGTACGAGAAAGGGTGAAAAAGAATATTCTGCAGTACAAAATGCAGGGAATAATTGAGTACAAAAGTGAAAATAAATTTTCGCGTGGCGAAGGCTCGGAAAGAAAATAAGCATGCGTAGCAGCAGATAAAAATAAATTATCAATCCAGACACTATCCTCCTGGCCCTACCAGATTATCAAATGGTCGTCCTCTAACAGAATGACAATTAATTATAATGACTGCCAATGTGTACAAAAGAGATCTCTGTACATAAAAATCTAAATAGGCATTTCGATTAAACCTAAAGCTCGCTTAATTTCAGTTAATGTTAAAAAAAAACAATTAACGCGCAAAAAAAGTCACATGCGAAAATCGGAAACAAAAACAAAAATAAGCTGGATCCATAATAGAACGCCCAAGCTGCTCTGTCAGAGATGTGTAATCAAGAGACTACACTGCCTTCAATTTGATTATATATATTTGATATTTACGATGATTCAATACTTGCAAGTTACAGAATCGAGAGAAGATAACAATTCGTATGAATTATAGTGATTAATGAATGTGTAATGATTTAGAACTATAATCGAATCAAAATGATAACGACTGTTTTTAACACAATATACACGAACGATGGATTGCATTGCAATGTTTTATTGACATCCTTTCCGAATGAGCTTATTAAAAGATATCACTATAATTGACTAGGAATAAATTTAAATTTGAAAAGCCCATAAATTGCTGTAAAAATTAGGAAGAGAGTTGCCTTTAATATTGAATTTTTGACATCTGAAGCGAAAAAGTTAATGCAAGGGATGTATGATAATGACAGAATTTATTGAAATTATTAAGTAATTATTGCACCGGAAAGTTATACAATGTTGTTGAAAGCAGGATTTCGTGGCAAATTGGATATAATCAAACCGTGTGAGGGAATATTACTTTGGCCAGTTTTGCCTTTTTTTTGTGTATGAATTTCAAAAGATCTATTAAATTCTTAGCTCAGCAAATTTACCTTGGAACGTATTTTGCACAACTTTTCGGAATTTTTTGTTTTCAATGCCCTTCAACTTTGTATTTAATGGGATTTTCCAACTGCCCAGATTCGAGCACCTTATGTAGACGAAACGCGTGCCTGGTGTGACAAATTAAATGCCTAGTATCTTTGACGGGAAAAAGTGGCAAAATGGTAATTGCTATTTGGCAATACTCATTATTATTTAGTTGATTACATTAAAGATTTCACAAAAATAAAATGAAAAAAAATAGTTTCCTACTGTTTTCTAAGCAATATTTTCAAAAAATCTTAACTAATAATGCTTTGCGAAGTTAAAGACTTAAGATGAGTTTTGTTTACATTGAACTACTTTTGACCTAATTATGACCCTTGGAATAAAACAATTCCAGAAAAATGACTCATTCCCAGTTTTCAAAGCAGATCAAAAACAAATACGTTGTATATAATTTTATACTGGAGCTCTTGGTTTAATAGGTTCCTTGTGAGCAGCAACCTTCTACCTAGGAAATCATGATAGGAAATGCAAGCTCTAATATATAGTCCAAATAGAAATGAAAAGTTCACAATTGGGAAGCTGAACTCATCCCTTTTATTGTAAAGTTTTGTTCTCAACCGACCCTCATTGTCAATTTCCAGATGTAAGTCAAAATGAGAGGCAGACTGTATCTGTAGTCAAAAAAACTCTCCCGAGTTTAAAATTATCATTGTTTAATGTTTAGTTGTATTAAGGACATTACTATCATTGTTTAATGTTTTAGTTGTATCTAGTATATTACAACAGAATAACTCATCATAGATACCAGGATACAAAAAAAAAATCTATTTTATATACAAAAAATTGAGAAATTCTATCTACTCAACATGTAATATATTTTACGAGATAAGATGCTCGTAAAGACTGTAGTATTATTTTGGAAAGTATCTTAAAATCTGTGGTATCTGTAAAATTAGGCTGTGTGTTAATGCAGTGTAAAAATATATAAGTGAATGAAAATATCAGTATATAAATTTCGTGCGTCCGAATCGCTATTCTTAATTTTCCTTCATCAGAAAGAATTGTACAAATGACAATTCATTTTTCACTTCTGTATTGAAATGAATTATCATATTTATATATAAGCTGTTTATGAACCGTTGAATTTTTCGAAATACTTAGGATTTTCTATCCCAGTAATAGAGTATCTAACATGTATTTGGCATAACCTTTAGAAATTTGGGGTCCTCAGTGATCTTCAAATTCGTACTCTATTTGGTTTTTTAGCTGCTTTATTCGAGAACTTGCAGTTTGTGATGTTCTTTCACGTGATTTCATTTGGCCTTCCAATTGCTTTGATTCGAGCGCCACTGATGAGTCTTTTGTAGACGGAACGCTCGTCTGGTGTACAATATTATATGCCTGGTATCTTTGATAGGCTTTTGTTTAATATATATCTGTGCTGGTTTAAAGAAGTTAGAGTGACCAAGATTATTTTAATGAATACATGTGACGAGTGAAAAATTAACAGCATCATTCATTAAGGCTGAATTTATTTCATGCTTTTTTTAAAAATCACGCAAAATTGATAATTTACATACATGAAGCATGTTCTTTTTCAGTCAGAATGCCATAAACTCGGCGGATCATTAACAGATGTTGAAACGATCATTGAATTGAATTTTCTAAATGATCAACTATTGATTCGGTCTGGATATGGTAAATTCTATATATATTCTTTAAACTCTAAGACATTATGAAATGAATTTAAAACAAGTCAAATGTTTGACGCCCTACAGAAAATCAAATGTATTGCATATTATGTTTTTTTTCATCTAAGCGACCATATCATCATAAAATACTTTTTTTAAAACAAAAAACATCATAAGGCATGTATACTCTATACATAGATTTTGCTCTTTAGTTTTAAAATTGAACTCAAATTTGTTATTGTCTGTGATTCCAGTTTATATCTGAAGTGAAGTTCAAAAAGAAAAATTAAATACGTGCATTTCACTGGAAAGCAAATTAAAAGTTGTATGTAACATCCTAGGTTTTTTAGCTCACCTTTCCAAAGGAAATGTGAGCTTTTGCCATCACTTGGCGTCCATTGTCGTCCGTCGTCGTCCGTCGTCGTCCGCCCTCTGTAAACTATTTCAAATATCTTCTCCTCTGAAACTACTGAACCAATTCCAACCAAACTTAAGCTGAATGATGCGTAGGGTATCTTGAATAAAGTTTGTGTTTTATTTTCTGTTTCGTCAAAATACATGACCGCTATGGCTAATAATAGAACATAGGGGTAAAATGCAGTTTTTGGCTTATATCTTAAAAACTAAAGCATTTAGAGCAAATTTGATATGGGGTAAAACTGTTTATTAGGTCAAGTTCTATAAGCCCTGAAATTTTCAGACGAATCTAGTTTGCTTACTTTAAAAAAAATCTTCTCCTTTGAAACTGCTGAATCAATTTCAGCTAAACTTCAGCTGAATGAGTTTCAGAGTTTCAGAGTATCTAGTATAAATTTTGTATTTTATTTCCTTGTACGTCAAGAAACATAGCCACTATGGCTAAAATGGAACATAGGGGTAAAATGCTTTTTTTTGCTTTTGAAGAAAATATGACAGATACAAAGAACATTTAAATGGCATTTTTAAGCCACTCATTAATATATATTGAAAAGCAAAAATAATCATTGATGAAAGATTTAAGCAAGAAATTACAGGTGAGCGATTCAGGCTCTTGAGAGCCTCTTGTTTAATTCTATTTTCTTAAAAATGTGATACAGAACTCTCTGCGGGTAACACGTTATCTAGTCTTCTTTTCACTTTTTTTCCTTTTTTAACCTATTGTTTTGTTCAGTTGGCACTTTTCAAAAAATTGTACAGAATTTAACTTTGTTTCATATAAAGAAATACCTAGAATGAATAAGCAATGTTGGATACAGCATGACAAAACTACATTTTGTCAAAATAATTAAAAAATATTAAGTAACTTTAAAAGGACAAAAAATGCATGTTGGTGGAAAACTTGAATATTTCAGCTTACCTATTTTTTTAAGAATATTGGATAGGCGGAACAGACAACGGAACAGAAGATAGATTTAGATGGGAACCGAGCGAGCAACCATTCAATGTAACAAACTGGGGTCCTGGCGAGCCGAACAATCTCGGTAATATCGAGCATTGTGTCGATTACAGGGAATTAAAGTGGAACGACGCTTCATGCGATATCAAAATTAAATACATATGTGAAATTAAGGTAATACAAACCCGATCATCAGAGATACCACGTTTATTTTTGTACGCTAGACGCTTGTTTCGTCTACATAAGACTCACCAGTGGCGCTCGAATCAAAGCAATTTGAAGGCCAATGGAAATCACGTCAAAGAGCATTAATAACTCCAAATTCTTACAGTCTATTTTTCGAACTTGCACCCGTTTATATTTGAAATGCTATATCTTTGTTACTGTTGAGATATACCGACAGGTGAGGTTAAAACTCCACCAGGCAAAGTTTCCATAGGTATTTGGGTGTCTTTTTACTCTTTGTTCATATAGCCCCTTGCATATTCTGGTATTTTGGTATTGAAAAACATTAACGGTACATATTTTACTGCATCAGATGCTGCAGATGCTAGGGACACTGTTACTCATATTTTAGAGAAAGATAATATCGAAAAGGTTCCATACTCTATCTAAAGAAAATATGAATAGTTTGTGTACTTTCTTATTTTAATTCGGCAACCAAGAAGTTTAATTTTGCCCAAATTAGCATAGGATACAAAATTGGAAATCATGTATTAGATTTCTTACAACATGTCCTTTTATGGAATAATCGCTGGATCTTTAATGTTCCAATGACTTTATAAATCACAAATTTAAAAAAAAAATTTATTCAGACTTAAAACAAAAAAAAATCTCAAATGGGGTCAACCACAGAGTAACAATTTCATTACTTTGTCCAATAGTTTTTTCTGTGAACTGGTTATGAAAATCCCATCTTGCATTTTACAGTCAGTTTTGTGGTGGCTGTTACTGTCTTCGAGTTGTAAATTGCAGGGACAAAGGATACATAAAACTTTTTAAATAACATTCCTTTTGAGTCGGACTTTTATTATTTTTTTAAGTTTTATCTTGTCAAAGTTTATGGCAGTCAACCAAAGGATTTTGCGTACCTTTTACGGTTTCCGATCTATAAGGGGTCTTAATCGCATTTTTACATAGTATGTATAAAATCTTAGTTTTCATTCAATTTGGTTGGGAGTATATAAACATGCTAATTTCCGTTGAAATCTTTTGCTTAAGTGGGACGTTTTGCGGCCTGACATCAATTGTTCCAATTAGGCTCGTTTGCAAACATTTTTCAAAATGTATCCAGTATAAATAATATTGCTATTTTTGATATATTTTGAAGTTTTAAACATTTTGTTCTCTACTTTTGTCTTTGAGTTAATCGTAGCATGAGAGATATGTCAACGTAATTAGCAGGCTTTTACGGTTTCCAAGCTGACATGTTTGAACAAGCAAATTATTACCTTTTAATCAAATTACAATTTCGGTATGGAGACTTATCCTTAATATACATTCGATAAATAAAATGTGCTGTAATGTGTACTTTTATTTGTTCGAATTTAAACTGTTTGTCCATCAATCCGTCCGTCCGTTCACACATCAAGTAGACACAAGTTAACAAACTAAAATAAAATTAACACTCAGAGGTTATTATGGAGACATATTACTCACCTGCTAAATAAGGGTTTATCGTACTAATTACAAATCAATATCATTCCAATTTAATTGCATGCGAAATAAAATTAATCTTGTACGCTGGGCATGTGAGATAAATGAGAACTAAACCGAGCTATTTAAACCACCTAAGACAAACTTAAATTCAGGGTATTCTACTGTGACTTGACTATAGGTGTTGCTGTTTACCGTTACCTATTGTTCAACCAGATTGTAAAATTGACAATACAATTGGGATAATACAAATTAAATTAACCAGTTGGTATTGTTAGAATTGAGTCTACCTTGATGCTACCTGTACTGTTTTTTTATTCACCTAACCAAACCTTACAGCATGCTTTTTTCCTGAAGTTTTTCTTCACCTAAGGTTATTCTATTATAAAATTGATAGGGAAGAAAATATTATTGGTTTTTATTGTTTTAAATCCCCAATATAAATGATTTATCTAACTTTGACCCAAAAATCTAAATCAGTAAAAGATTTCCTTAACTGCATGTTAACATGTATGAAAATTAAAACTGTTTAACATAATAAATGAATCTTTAATTTTTTAACCCTTATACATAGTATTGTCCAGTTGTCGGTGAAACTAGAATAGCTATTCAGGTGTTTTCAGTTTCAGTTTTCAGATGGATAAGTTATGCATTTCTTTATATATCCATTCAAATTTTTTATTTGGAATATTACCCAAAGTGTTTGAAATCTATTTATTTTATTTGAATTCACTTCTTAAGATGCCTTTAGTTTTGCTTCTTAAAATGTGACTTGTTTTTTTTCTCCAAGAATGGATTGTCATGAATGTATCAAGGAGGAAATAATTCATTCAAAATGTTTTTTGTGGCTTATACATGATGATGTACATGTAAAATTCGAAATAATTTTGGAGTATACCTTGCAGTGTTTATCTTTGAATTTATTAGGATTTTTGTGCATAAAAAAACTGTGTTCACTCAAGGGAATTCACTTTTTATAAGATGGGATTTAGTGAATCTAAAAGGTAAAAAAAAATCAAAACTGGAATGCAAGAAGGAGAAATAAGTTTATCCAACTTGTTTCTGTGGCTTTGACATGTGATTTTGAAAATAATCATTATAAAATTATGAATCTAATATGAAGATGATTCACCTGTTTAAATGGGTTATATATCATAGAAAATGAAATGAAATGTGAATACAGTGGATATAGTGGCTATAGTCAAATCTAGTGATAAAGTATAAAATAAAAGTAAAATATTCCCCAAAAAAACGTGAGGATAACAATTTTGAATGTGATATTGGAAATAATCATTATAAAATTTGGTATCTTATATTGTTTAATTGGGACAAATATCATGGGAAATGAAATAAAAACTGTAAACTCAAGTGATATAGTGAAAAAAAATATCCCAAAATATCTGTAAAGTGAGGGTAATTATTTTGAATGTGATATTGGAAATAATCAAAAATTTCAAAATTTCTGGATCTAATATAAAGATTCGGCGCCTGTTTAATTGTGATAGATATCATGGGAAATTAAACAGAATACTGTGGATATAAAAGAAAATCTAGTGATATAGTGAAAAATGTTAGAAAAATATTCCAAAAGTTAATAAAATCAGGAAAGTATTTTAAAATCATTTCAAATAGTGAAACTGGAATACTGGATGGGATATCAAATATCAATGTCAATAAATAAAACTTTATTCATAACTATTATTTTTGATTTTCACTATGCATAAATAAAGGCAACAGTAGTATACCGCTGTTCGAAAACTCATAAATCGATAGAGATAAAAACAAATTCGGGTTACAAACTAAAACTGAGGGAAACGCATCAAATATAAGAGGAAAACAACGACACAACAAAAACACAACATTAAAATGTAACACACACAGAAACGAACTATAATATAACAATGGCCATTTTCCTGACTTGGTACAGGACATTTTAAGAAAAAAATGGTGGGTTGAACCTGGTTTTGTGGCATGCCAAACCTCCCGACCAACCAGTGACGCTAAGATGAAAAAAGTTTGAAAGCCAAAACAAGTACAAAGCTGAAGAGCACCGAGGACCAAAACTTCCAAAAAGTTGCGCCCAACACTGCCAGGGTTTTCTACCTGGGACAAGAACATCCTTATTATTTAGAATAATATATAATTTTGCAAACAGTAAATTTTATATAATGACTATATAATAGATATACATGATAAAACCAAAGTGGGGACTAACTATAGAATAAAAACGGATACATTACATAAAACAACTTAATCCAACACATAAAAAAATACACAGCCGAGTTAGCCAAAGCCAAAGCCTCAACGCACAAAGTGACGTCACATTTGAAATTCGAAATGAACACTTTGTACAAGGCTCATGTCAATAAGTATTGAACAAATGTCTAAATGAAGGAATGCACTAATGTGTTGTGGTGTTTATAAATTATTGAAATTATGAAATAATTAAGATTTCCGCAAGAGAAAAAAACCAATTTGAGTTATCTCCCATCAGAAAATCCAAGCACTCATAGTATTTGGCTATTAAAACATTAAGAGGAAATGTAGTGCATTATATGACATGCAATTAAATACCCTGCAAGATAAAACATATACATTCTTGTTCCAGCTTGCTTAGTCCTAATTTTTGAAATAACAGCAAATAAAAATCTCTCTTTTCCCTTTCAAAATTTTGTGTTCAAATGGCAATTGTATGGTCAATTACTTCAAGGAATACATTCATTTCAATGAAAAAAGACTGTAGTTACAATGTTTATTTCCTTTACTTGTTTTAGGATTATCATATGAAAAACATTGGGAGATGAATTTTAAAACAATCTGCAGTTTTTAACAAATATTAGAACATGAAATAAGTTTGCATCTTGTAGTCATACTCTAGCTTTATTTATACCATTTATACTAATTTATACTGTATGCATGTTACGTATACAAAGACAAAAGTTGAAGCTTGAATGTCACAATGGATAACTTTTGAAAGACCTATCCCAGTTACACCACAACAGTAACAAATGAACAGATGAAGTGATAGGACAGCACCCAGGTAGACTCTAAATGCATGAGTGATCATCTATTCACCAATTCTAACAATACCAACTGGTTAATTTAAATGTCCCAATTGTATTTTCAATTTTACAATCTGGTTGAACAATAGGTAAAGGTAAACAGCAACACCTATAGTCAAGTCACAGTAACCTAACTTGGTTTCAGTCCATCTACGTAATTGTTTACAGCCATAGTTTATTGTGTATATCTTAGGATTTCACATTACTGTTTTTTACGTTTTGCAAAGTAGATAACTATATCAACGTTGACATGAAAGAATTTGTTTATTTCTGACAAGTGATTGTTTTATATGTTTTTTATAGGTTTAAATGGATATGAGAGGAGGAAAGATACAGATGTTGAATACTGATAAATATATTTATATGAAAATGACGGTTCATTTAAATATTTACATTGATTGTAAAGTATAAATAAAATGAAATGTATGGTATACGTCGTCAATAAAACAGCAATAGAACAACACAAAAATACGAAAAACTTCTACGTTTCTATAAACCAAATATTGTTCACGCATGACCAAGAAAGTGTCATAAAACTCTTGTGATTTTGTACATGTAAGAGAATGATCATCCATTTCTTCATAATTAAGTACGAGAACTTATTACGAAGACATGGATTACCATTCTCTTTTTCTTCAGAAAATGCCTATACCAAGTCAGGAAAATGACAGTTGTTTTCCATTCGTTCCGTTGGTTGATATAGTCGAGCGTGTGATTTTGGTTTTACGGAATATACTTATAGAGTTTGGTATGTTTGTTTATACTTTTCTCCTACAAACTTATTGTAAATGATGTAAGGAATTTATTTTCATTTGGGAAATTTATTGAATTGTGTTTCAAACATTAGATGACACAACAGCACGACGAAACTATATAACCTTCTAATTGTGAATAAGAATGTAAATTATGTGATCTTTTAGTAAGGAATTATAATTTTACTTACTTGCATTTCATATCAAAAGATTTAAAAATTTGAGTTACAACTATATTTTTTTACACAGCCAATGCCCCACATTACAACAAATAATGCATAGGTATGCTAGGGGACTAACTAAAATTTAAATGTTTGAATAGAATAAAAATAAATTAATAAAAGAACAGAGTTCCAATGTCCCCCACGTTGCACATATTTTATCTGCCCAAGGGCAATAACATAAAAAAACACATTTTTAGGAGGGGATGGGGGTTTAAAACTTTTTATAATTTATCTTAGAAAAATGAAGGCTTGAGAGCAAAAACAATGCAATTTCCGATATAATTATTAATTCCATGAGACATAAATAAAGGCAACAGTAGTTTACCGCTGTTCAAAATTCATAAATCGATTGAGAAAAAAACAAATCCGGGTTACAAACTAAAACTGAGGGTAACACATCAAATATAAGAGGAGAACTACGACACAACAGAAACACAACATTAAAATGTAACAACACATAAATTGTTAAAAATATTTGATCGTCACTTATTTTCGAAATTGTCCGAGACCTTGCTGATTTAAACCATTGATATAAATTTTATAAAATATGGCCGCGCTAACAATGCAAATTTCCATATAATTAATGTTTCCAAGGGGCAAAACTCTTTTGAAAATAATTGATCGGTACTGATTTTTGAACATGTCCGAGACATTGCTGATATAAACCTATGATATAAGTTTCATAAAAATCTGTCAAGAATTGTACACATGAGAGCGATAACAATGCAATTTTCCATATAATTAATATTTCCAAGGGGCATAACTATTTTAGAAATAATTAATCAACACTGATTTTCGAACTCGTCCGAGACATTGCTGGTATAAACCTTCGATATCAATTTCATAAAAGTGTGGCAAGAATTGTACAAATGAGAGCGCTAACGATGCAATTTTCTATATAATTAATGTTTCCAAGGGGCATAACTCTTTTATAAATAGTTCATCTGCACCGACTTTAAAACTCGTCCGAGACATAGCTAATATAAACCTATGATACCAGTTTTATAAAATTCTGGCAAGAATTGTACACGTGAGAGCGCTAACAAAACTGGACAGACAGACGGACGGACGGACGGACGCCCTGTATTTCTATGTCCCCCGCAACGCGTCGCGCAGAGGACAATTATAATCTGCCTTTTATATAAAATTAAAAACGTAATTTAGTTTCCTGTTTTAATTGTGTCAGAATATTTTAAATGACTTTTCTTACCAAACGGATCCAGTAATCAGTTTTGGAAAGCGTATTAGCTAAGATTTAGGTTACATTGTGCATCTAATTTATGAGGTTTATATTTTTGTATTGTGTTGATATTTGTTAATTTCTTAGTAAATTTGAATAACTCTAGTTACTCCCCTTCGGGTGATCATTAGATATTTACGCTAACATGAGTTTTGATTTTTTTTAAGTGAATTGTTTTTCTCTTCATTAAGTTAGAATCCTTTAGAGCAATCAGGCTATATTTTTTTTTAAAGATGGTGGGCTTCACCTTATTGAAGCTGGGCAGTACGAATTGCGCAAGTTTTTTTAGCATGTTATTAATCATATGTAAATAATTTATTATTGATTATCTTGTCATTTGTTTTTATTCATTTTGGCTTAAGGAAGTGTTTCATTCCTTGTGTTATTTCGAATTTTCAAGGGGCGTCTTATTCTTTGGATTGCTTTTTATTAGCTTCTTTAAGGCACTCTACTTTTCCGTTCGTTTGGTGTGTTTGAGCTTTTGATTTGCCATTTGATGAAAGACTTTTTGTTTTGAATTTTCCTTGGATTTCGGTATTTTTGTTATTCTACTTTTTCAACGGAAAAAGTGGCATTATTTCGATAAGTGTCCCATAAGCTCTGTTTGCATGTACCTTTTGATCCTAGTAGCATCAGCAGGTCACAAGGAAGTGTTTAAGCATGGACAATAATAGAAAATCTGAGTTTTTCATATATGAACGATAAACACTAGTCGAACTCTGATTTACGTTTCCAATATTTCGTTTCAGTAATGTATGCGACTGATGTATGAGAGGTTTGGCTAGCTTTTAAACCAGGTTTAATCCAGCATTTTCTACATAAGGAGATGCTTGTACCAAGTCAGGAATATGACAGTTGTTTTCCATTCGTTTAATTTTGCCATTTGATAAAGGACTTTCCGTTTTGAATTTTCCTTGGAGTTCGGTATTTTTGCTTTTTTACTTTTTATGGGAGTTTCCTGAATAGAACTCTAGCAGGTGAAGAAGTGTTCCCTTCTTCATACTTTGAGTTGAATTTTCAAAAGAGTATAGCAACTCGTGGGTTCAACCCTCTTTTGTTTGGCGGACTTTTTGGCGGATATCTAATTTTTCAGTGGCCCGCCGATACATGTAATTTTCCTTTCTTTTACTTTATTAGTATTTGTATTTGTTTTTGTACTTGTTCTTTATATTTATGTAATGACAAGCACGTTAAATATTTTATGTTTTCTGCCAAATAAATATATATTATTACATTCTTTTAATGAAGCAAAACGTAATTGGTTTGGATATTTTTTCTCACAAAAACTAGTAATAATGATGCGGATTTTTTTAATTTGTCCTAGTTACTTCATTTTGGCCGATCATTAGATATCCATGCTTACCTAAATTTTGAATTGTGTTCACTCCACTTTTTAGAATTATTTTTTTTTTCTCGTCATTACGTTAGAATCCTTTAGAGTAATCAGACTAAAATCGTTACCCACCCTCTCTCCCTTTATACATATCGTTTGATTGATATTTTGTTTAAATTTTTGCATCACTGACTTATACGGCGGATATTTATTTTTCGTGGCCCACCGATACATGTATTTTCCTTGCTTTAACTATATTAGTATTTGTATTTGTTCTTTATATTTAGGTTATGAATTGTATGTTAAATGTTTTATGTTTTGAATAAATATATATTATTACATTCTCTTAATAAAGCCAAAAGTCATTCTGCGACAATAAATATCAACTTAATTTGATTTTGTTTGATTAAAAATTCAATATATATTCCGTTTCAATCATAAATCCTGTCAAGCTGATAATATGTTTAGGGGCAGTTGTAACTCATTTAACAAAAGGACAATACATTACTAAGAATATGTTAAACAAACCTTCTTCACAATTAAGAAAAATTTTAAAAAATCCTACAATTTCATTGGTCGAGAGCACTTTGTTATATTTTTATATAAGACAGACACGGGTACGTAAAAGGAATCTTCATAAGGAGTTTCATTACCTTTTACTAATCATGGTAACTGAGAAGACGTGACACAATTCTTTTTTTTTTATTAATCAATTAATATTAGTCTTAAAACATGTTTCACTTAATTTTGCCTGTCAAAACCTGATCAATCGTCGTTGAACTTGTGTCAACCAAATCGTGATGACGTCCGTAAAATTTTGAAAGGGATGACTTCAAATTCACAACTTGGAATCCATGGTTCAATAGCTTCCTTGTAAGCATATTGACAGACAGGTGTATAGGTATATTAGCGCAATTTCATTTTCGAATATCTACCAACAAAACGTATGACAGTGATTAAATGGTTCTGTGTGCTGCTAGTGGATGCAACAATAGACATAAGAAGGACGGTGTGTTAAGTTTTTTCCGTTTTCCGATTAACCCGCAGACCAAGAAGGCGTGGACACACTATTGTAAGAGATGGGACTTCATGGGACAAAAATGTCTAACAGCAGTGGCATCGACTCAGTGGTTGTAAAAACTCAGCAAAGATATCAGGCTTATAATATAATGAGCCAGATGACGTTTTGTCCACACAAGACTCACCAGTACCAATCAAAACAGTTGCAAGGTCAATTCAATTACAAATTAAAATTGAATAGCACTGATAATATTCAAAAAAGAATCTTAAAAGTTGTACCAAACTTGGCTAGGCCATCTTTGTCTGGGGGTAGTAACATTTGTGTTTTGAATGATTTTAACGATTTCTTCAGTGTTTTGGTACGCATCCTTGGGTTTGAGCGTTTCTGATGAAGGTAAATCCAGTAAAGCGTTAAGGACCATAACATTTTTCAAGTGTTAATTATTTTGTTTCAATACATTTTTTCATGTTAACAAATTAGATATTTTATTTGAGCAGTGGTCTGCTCAATAACTTAACAGATAAACTAAGCTGGATTTTGGAATAAAGTATTTATAAGATATTGTTAAATTACAAAACTATCACCTTCCTCATTTAATAACAAATAAAAATAACATCACTTACAACATTGCATTGTTAGTTATATAATAATAATGGCATGAAAAGTCTCAGAAAAATAAAACTAAAAATAAAATATCAATGAATACAATAACAGACGATATTAAGAATACGTGTCTACAGGACATTGTGCATCGTTCGACCTATATTTGTTATGCTCAGTTGACGTATAATTTGAATTGTTCACCTCATAATGAACATGTGAACTAAATTTCGAGATGATGTGACTACAACTTTTATGTAAACTACTTAACTAAACACTTTAAACTGAAAATGTACTGATTCCACAATATCACATTTCCATGTTCAGTGAACAATGAAATAGAAGCGAAAGCTGTAATTTGGCGCATATAGATTAAAAAAGTTCAGATCATGATGAACATATGACCACAACTTGATGGTAGACTACCTTAACCAAAAATTGTAAGCTGATACGGGATGGATGAACAGACAGACACACTGATCAGAAAATAATAACGTCCAACTTCTATCGTAGGCGAGTCATTATAATGAATAATGAAATAACCAATGAAAATTTGACAATTGGATCTACAAAACATATATTATAAAGATATTTCTTTGATATTGAGCTACACTAGAAATTTAATTAAAACAAAAATGTACACTGTAGTACTAAGCATACACCCACTCGTATTTCAACATATTGGATAACAGAAAGTATGTGTCTTATAGGTAAGGAAAATGCTCATACGTACAACTCATCACTAATAAGCTGCTATAAGGATAAATGAAGTCATTTGGTTCAGCAGTACTTTAGAAAAGTATGACGAAAAGTTTTAAGCTTATTCAACATATTGAAAAATTCAAAGTAGGTGTCCAACATAACAAAAAAATGCTCACATGTCACAACTCATCACTTCAAAGCTACTGAATATGTATGAAGTCTTTCTGTTCTGTAGTACTTTAGAAAAATGAGACAGAAATATGTGTTGGACAAATGAATGAACAGACAAAGCGAATGCAATATAGCCCCCACTTTTAGAGTGGCAGTATTATAGGATGAAACATACAAGTGGTTATGTGTCTAATGAATGGTAATTCTTATTATTACTTAGTTTATATATAACTGAAAATACAGATATACAATGGGAATAAAGTGTTAATGTTCTAGAATGGCATTTCTTTGTTGTTAGTTCATTCAATTATCTCAATATCTTTTTTTTTTCATATCTTTTTTTTATATTTGAGTTGTTGTTGCTACTTTTTATTCTTCTTTCTTAAAAGTTATATACTATAAATTCAGAAATTATTGTGTGCATTTATTATTGCGATTTTTGAAAAATGAACAAAATGCCAGATTAATTATTGCGATTTCAGGAAAATTTGCATACAGATATATGTATCAGATATAAGAATGCGAGTTTCTATTGTTGCGATAATCACCAATTTCATTATTCGCATTAATAAGAACCTTGAAATAATTTCTGAATTACATTATTACAAAAACGTTGATTATTTTTCAATTTTGAGGATGACTTTTACTGTTCAAATACAACAAACTAGTCAAAGGGGAGTTTTTTTTCCAAATTTAAAAAAATGTGTATTGATCTGGTCTGGTCTGGTTGTTTTACGTGAAAATAAACTTAAATTTTCTGCTCTTTGGTCGGGTTGTCTCTATGACACATTCCCAATTTCCATTCTCAATTTTATTATACTATTTGGTTTGATAAATATTTTGATTTATAGATCAATAGTTCATATAGATTTAGACTGTGCGAAGTAATGTTTTCAAATTGTCATTTTCTTACCTAGATATATAATCAAATTCAACTGTTCTTTTCAATGTTGGCCATTTGATATCCTACCCAGTTTGCATCAACATGTACTTTTCGAAAATGAAAAGTTCTTGGTACAGTAAAGTATATTTGAAAAATGAAAAACAAAAAAAAAACTAAAGAATTACATGCTTATCTTTTTTTATATACATACATTTTAAAAAGTTAACATCATAACGAACTTAGTTTCAAGTTGATGTGACCATAACTTTATGGTAAACTACCTTTTATTTAAAAGCTAAAACTTTAACCTGATACAGACAGACGAAGTGATAAATGGGCAGATGGAAGCAGAGACAAGAAAAACATAATGCCCCCAATTATCTTAGGTTGAGTATAAAAAATAGTGCTGTACTGTTCTTTTGGTAAACTAGATGTACAGATGAATTAAACAATATGTATCCCAATAAATGCAAATTTAATGTAAAATATCTTTGTGATTTTTTATGATAACTTGGTCATATCTAAAATAAAGTGTTATACATTACTTATTCCAATGTCATATATACTTTAAAAATACTTACATAGTGTGGGGCCATCTTGAATTTTATATATGGATTTCTTAGGGTGAAGACATGGGCCATCAGATTATTATGTCCTGAGCCGTACACGAGGGCCATATCAAACAGTGGTCCATATCTTAGAGCAAAGGTCAGTGTTTATATTGGAAGACATCCCTTTACAAAAGTGTATATTGTCTTCTTTTCATTGCAGAAATTATCTGATGTAATAATATAAAACTATATTATTTTTGTTCCATTCATCTCTTTATTTGAATACTTAATTCGAGGCATCAGTAGTTTACCAAAGGAAAACGAAAATGGAGGGAATCCCATGAACTCCGAAAGTAGCAAAACCAGCTGCGTCAACAGTGTTAGCATCTCCTTCTATGCATGCATCAGCCTCTATACAGAGCCAAACTCAGGTACTACTAGTATCTTAAGATCTAACACCAGGAAAACATGTCGCTTGTGAGTTGAGACAGGGACATATCTTATTGGTCAACAAATTCATGACAATGACCATAAAACTTATAAGCCTGGTATCTTTGATGAGTTATTATGGAGTGTCAATTTCAGTCGTTATTCCCCAAAATTCTGTTAAAGCAGTATTTGCGAAAGGAGAACACCCCTGTAAATTAAGTCCTTATAGTGTCAAAATACATGAGTGTAACAATATAAATTGAGAATTGCAAACACCATAAAATTGGGACGAGGGTATGGTACTACTAACCTATTGTATAATTTAATTTTTTTCCAGTTATGTGTTTGTATATTGCTTATCAAAAGACAGAAAACTTGGTTAAATTACATGAAGCATGGAACACAAGAAGACGAAATTCCATCCTTCGCTTAAAAGGGAATTAAAAAATTATATTTAAAATATATATGTACATGTATATACATAGATTGTAGAATTTTTCTCAATTACCAAAATTTGTACAAATAAAATAACATGTGTCAAGATTAATAAGTGGTTATAAAATCAATGCTGATATCATATAATTACCTGAAAGAAAAAGCATTCAATGTAACAAATGTGTTATACAGTTAGCATAAAATTTTCTACAATAAAATAAAAAAGCACACTTCAACTAATGTTTTCAAGTGAAAATAAAATAGCACCATTCTAAAATGACAACAACTAATATAACAGGCATATAAAACAACAAGAGATATTTGCCTGTTATAAATTTCACTTCCACCTTTCCATGTATTTAAGTAAGTTTGATTGATTTAAATAATATCAATAGTATTGTAAATGTGGATGGATTATTTAAAAACTACTGACTGTTCTTAAATTAGATATTACCGACCGTGCGAGGGCTGAACAGCCAGTCAAGGTCGTTAAACACTTCCAGTAGGAAATTGGATATTTGTTTATAATCCTTATTTTTTATTACATTTCTTCTTATGGTGATTAAATATAAATACCAAATTTTGCCTACAAAAATGTTGTATAAAACATCCAAATTAAAATTTTAATATAAAATATCATATTTCTATAAATAAATCTTCAGAAAATGTAGGTAAGAATGAAGCTATATTCAAACCAGATATGTAGTAAGAAAAGCTCCCCGTACTTCAAAACAATCCAAACTCTTCTTAACATAATAATTCTTAATAAAAGACTGTGATAAGAGAAGTACAAGTTCTTGGACTAAGCTTTAAAGACTTTTGATGCAATCAAACAGCCCAAGTCCGTAAGACTAAATGAAATTGAATATGGAATATGCTATGCACAGATAAACCTTAATTTAAAGTGATATAGGTCAGTCTGACCTACTTTTAATGAAGTTTGTCGCAATTACATAGATGCGTGCTTTCGCAAAGTTATATGGTTGCAGGTTGATTACAATATGCAAACTGGACTTGAAATGTAAAAATTTCTTAAGATTGAAAAATGTAGAAACCGGTCATACAACTTCCATTTTATGGTTTATGGTCAGTCTCTCAATATGCATTTGTAGACCAAATATTATTGCTGTATAAAGTTATTAGTTTCTGAGATATAGCTGCATATCATTAAGTTGATGCAGACAAAGGTTTATCCAAAAGCTCCCTAAATATTGCTGAGGCAAGACAAAAATAAAATAAATAAATCTAATCTTGTTTATGATATAAAACATAAATTGCAAGACTGAAACATTAAAATTTCTAATAACTAGAAATAAAACACAAATTTGAGAAACGTTCTTAAAAATTGTACATCATATCAAATAAACTCAGAGACAAAATAGATTATTTTTAAATTTATGGGTCATTTATTGTTTACAAAACAAGTTTACCAACAGGGTTCAATTAATGAATCAGGTTTTTTTTTATATTGTTCTTTTGCTTAAGATTTCACTATTACTAGGCATACTGGTAACAGGAAAATCATACAGTGGTATGTATATACAAGTGTTGAAACATTTGACAATTCACATTCTTGTACATGAAGAGTATTAACAATTAGAAATTAAAACAAGATTCCATAGTACACTGATGCCCGACTCGCACTATCATTTTCTATGTTCAGTGGACCGTGAAATTGGGGTCAAAACTCTAATTTGGCATTAAAATTAGAAAGATCATATCATAGGGAACATGTGTACAAAGTTTCAAGTTGATTGGACTTCAACTTCATAAAAAACTACCTTGACCAAAAACTTTAACCTGACAAGGGACAGACGGACGAACAGATGGACGAACAAACAGACGAAGGAACGAAAGGACGCACAGACCAGAAAACATAATGCCCCTACTACTATTGTAGGCAGGGCATAAAAATCCAATGTTGATTAAGATAGATGCTGTCTATAATGCCCCTTTTCACTAAAAAATGTAAATTTGTTTTCTCTGATCAATTAAAATAATTTAATGAAACCATTTAATGATTTATGCATCCCACTTGTTACCATCTTGAGTAATCAAGAATTGAATATAAGGATTATTAAAGCATGAGTGCAATTGAAATTATTTCACCCAAATGATGATAGAAATCATATACTGCCAATTAAATTATCTGTGCAAAAATTCTATTTCTGACTCTTTCTTGCATGAAATAAATGTTCCTTCATAATATATATTCCAACCGGAACAAATATTAGGGAATAAATGGTATTGAATATTTGTTCCAACAGGAACAGGTAATATGGCAATGTTCATAACAAAGTTTCCAGTGGAATTTCTGGAACAAACATATGTTGACATTTCAAAAATACTCCATTCTACAACTCATTATAAGATGGAGGTGCTGGTCGTACTGCCTGTGGTTGTGGACCTGAATAATTCTGCTGATTCCAGTTATAGTAAGTGTAAGCAGGGGCCCAGTTTCCATGTGTTGTTGTATGTTCACCATCATCTTCATCATGAATATCCACTGCACCGAATACACATTCAGCATAAGATGGAGGTACTATAATAAATGAAAACTGAATTGTAAATTAACCTTTTAGATAAAAATACTCCATAGAGAATACTTATTTTAAACAACTGTTTTTTTTTTTTTTAATTTACTTACAAAAGGAGAAACAAATACTGTAAATTCTGAAATTATTGTGTGGTTTTTATTCATACCAATAATACGACTGGGTGAGTATCAAAATAATAAGAACTTGCATTCTAATATCGGATACATATAACTATATGCAGATTTTTCTGAAATTGCAATTACTAATCCTGCATTTTTTGCCTTTCTTCAAAAATCGCAATAACAAATATGCATTCAATAATTTCTGAATTTGAAGTTAATAGTTGAAGAACCAACTCTTACTCTTGAAAAACAAAATACAATAAGATGCTTATTCAGTCCTGCAAAGGAGAATATTACTTTTAATATAAAAATAAGAAGATGTGGTATGATTGCCAATGAGAATACTCTCCACAAGAGACCAAATGACACAGACATTAACAACTAGAGGTCACCACATGGCCTTCAACAATGAGTAAAACCCCTACTGCATAGTCAGCTATAAAAGGCCCCGAAATGACAAATGTAAAACAATTCAAACAAGAAAACAAACAGCCTCATTTATGTACAAAATAATGAACGAAAAACAAGTATGATATACAGCAACAAACGACAACCACTGAATTACAGGCTTCTGACTTGGGACAGGCACATATAGAATGTGGCAGGGTTAAACTAGTTTGAAGGCACCAACCCTCCCCCTAACCTGGGACAGTGGTGTAACAGTACAACATAAAAACAAATTATAAAAATCAGTTGAAAAGGGTTTAACTCATCAGATGGTTACAAGAACACAGAGTGGATGTGGCATGGTACTTATACATCCCCACAACAAAAAGACACTAAGTACAGATCTGAGAGTACTCACAGTTACTGACAGTTAGTTCAAAGCCAATAACAACTAATAAAAAAAAACATGCATCTAGGACCAAAATATCAATCAGTACACATCCAACGTCTAATTGATTTAGTGAAAAGACGTCAGAGAAAAACATGACCTTGTGCAATGCCAAGATAAAAGTATCAACAGATTGTAGAGCCATGAATGTGCATATGATATAAAAATGATATTTAGTTTGATTTTAATTTACTGATAACAAAATCAATATTAATACCAATAAAAACAATATTCAAAGCCTACCATGGCCCTGTTTATTCATTCAAAACAAGAAACTGCAGGATGCTTTTATTTTATCACATTTGTTAAACTTCTTAATAAAGGTTTTAAGAAAAATGTAAATGTCTGCTATGACTGATGACAAAATTTGACTATGATGTCTTTTTTAAATCATGTCTATTCTACTGTGTTATGGATGGGATGCTATGATTTTTAGAAACAAGGTAGCATTTCAAAATTCCCTTTTTACCAGTATGAATTGATATATGAAATGTGTGGGGAGATAACTCCAGGTACATATAATTTAAATTAATATACTTTTTTCATCTAAAAGAAATTTAAAATACCTGTAGATCAAATTCTTTGTACCAAAAAACTGAATTCCAATAATATGTAGAGAATGACGTAAAAATATCATGGCATAATGTGAATACGACTATTCAGAAATTGATATATTGATTTAATAAAAAAAATCTTACATTCATCATATGAAGGTGGAGCTGATGGTATGACTGACAGCTCAATCTGTGATGGTGCAACCTCATTGGCTGTAGGTATTCTGGGTGCATTAGGCTGAACTACCCTAGCTGGCTTTGTCCCTATTATTATTTCTCTCTCCACTTTAAGAGATGACCAGCCACTTGGAATCTTCAACTAAGATACAGAATATATGTAATTGTAAACTATTCTTATTTCACTTTCTATTTTTATCGGTAACGTCGTCATAACAACATTTATTGTAACATTCCTTCCGGTTAACCGCAATAACCGCAAAATTTGTACTTCACAGTTTTATTTCACATAAAATTGAGAATGGAAATGGGGAATACGTCAAAGAGACAACAACCTGACCAAAGAGCAGACAACAGCCGAAGGCCACCAATGGGTCTTCAACGCAGCGAGAAAATCCCGCATCCAGAGGTGGTCATCAGCTGGCCCCTAAATAAAATTGTGTACTAGATCAGTGAAAATGGACGTCACACTAAACTCCAAAACATATAAATGAACTAAAATTAAAAAACATACAAGACTAACAAAGGCCAGAGGCTCCTGACTTGGGACAGGTGCAAAAATGTGGCAGGGTTAAACATGTTTTGTGAGATCTCAACCCTCCATCTATACCTCTAGCCAATGTAGAATAAACAAATACATAGCAATACGCACAGTAAAACTCAGTTTAAAAGAAGTCAGAGTTCGATGTCAGAATAGGTAACAAAAGAAACTAAGCAAAATGACAATGATACATAAATTAACAAAGGACTACTAGCAGTTACTGACATGCAAGCTCCAGACCTCAATTAAACTGATTAAAAGATTATGTCTTCATCATATGAAAATCAAGCACAATCCCTCCCGTTAGGGGTTAAGTATCATACCATCATAAAATATATGAGAAGAACATAACCTGTATCATGCCAACAACTAGTTTAAGAATAAATATGTTTATTTCCGATGCAAAGACCCTATGAGTGAATCAATATTAATACCAAAATATGCAATCCTTAATGACCGGACAACAGTATCGTAACTATATCCCTTCCGAATAAGTCTGTTTAAAGGTTTGGTTAGCTTTTGAGGTGAATGCCGACATTTTTGTGCTTTGTAAAGAATATTACCATAAAATATTGGATGTGAAATACCTGAACGTATAAGATGTCTGCATGTTGATTTATATTTACGAATGATGTCCTTGTACCGATGATAAAATTTAATAAATGTTTTGACTAGTTTGTGATATCGAAAACCCTGGTGTAATAATTTTTCAGTAATACATAGATTTCTATCGTTGAAATCAAATACGTTGTTACATACACAAGTGAATCGAACAAGTTGAGATATATAAACACCATAAGATTGTGACAAGGGAACGTCACCATCTAAAATTGGATAATTAACAATAGGAAATGAAAAATCATCCCTTTTATCATAAATTTTGGTATTAAGCTTCCTGTTAAAGATATAGATATCAAGATCCAGGAAAGGGCAGTGTTCATTGTTAGTATTAGCTTTATTTAAAGTCAGTTCGGCAGGATAAATCTCTTTAGTGTACACACTGAAGTCGTCATTATTGAGAGCCAATATATCATATAAATAACTAAAAGTGTTATTAAATTTTTGAATCAGATGTTGTTTCTATGGGTCTTTGCGGATTTTAGTCATAAATTCTAACTCATAACAATACAGAAACAGGTCCGCAATAAGTGGTGCATAGTTAGTCCCCATGGGAATTCCAATAACCTGACCATATAAGGAATCTCCATAGCAAACAAAAATGTTATCTAGTAAAATTCAAGGGCAGTTATAGTATCAAAGTAGGTCCAATTGACATAGTTCTTTTGTTTGTTGTTACTAAAAAATGACCTAAAAGAGTTAGAACATATATATTCGCATTCCGACTTTTTAAATGCCCATTTAATCAGGTGTGTGAATTTTTTCTTAATAAGATTATGAGGCAAAGTGGTATATAGGGTAGAAAAATCAAAACTTTGAACAGATTTGAAATCACCAATATAAGCATGCAATTTATCAAGTACTTCCAACGAATTTTTGACACTCCAAAAGTAATTAATTCCACTATTTTCAAAGGCCTTATTTGAACGATTTATTACCAGGTTTTTGATTGTACCAAGTGTACTAGTAAGTAGAATAGTTAGTTTAGTAGTGGAACGATGGCTTGAAGACGAAATAAATCTATATTTGTAAGGAGTTTTGTGCAGCTTTAGAAGCTGTATACTTGTCCTGAAGAATGTAATCATACGAAATATCTAAGATATAATGCATGACAGAATTATTAAGATCATATGTCTTATTAAAACTGAAATATGAACTTTTCTTTGACTAAATAAACTAGAGGCTCTAAACATTTCACTAACCTAGTTCATGTGCATCTTCAACAATGGACACTCTCTAACATTGTAGACTAGAATAGAATTCAAGACAAAATCTCTTTTTTGTTCATCTTGCATTGCTGATCATTATTTTCTGTTTACAGTTTCTCTCTATCTTCTTTAGCTTTTGTCCCAAAACACAAAATGAAGTGTAAAAAAAAATCGTCATTTAAGAGCAGTCCCTCCTATAAAGAGTCTACAAACTATTTCAGCAAAATTTGACTTATATTACTTATTTGTAGATCTTGTCGTCCTGATAATTTTTGTCTAACTTTTATAGTTTTCAAGATAATAGGCAAAACCAAGAAATTGGTAAAATCGTCATTAAAATGCAAGAATTCCATTGAGGAGTTGACTGACAATTTTGATCATGTTTGACTTATTTGTAGATCTTGTCTTGCTGATAAGTTTTGCTTTTTAAAGTTTCTTTCAATCTATAATAGTTTTCAAGATAATAGGCAAACTAGAGGCTCTAACGAACCTGTGTCGCTCACTTGCATCTTCAACAATGGCTACTTTTTAGTAAAAATCATCATTAAAGGGGAATTACTCTATTAAGAGCTAACTGACAATTTCAGTCATGTTGATATATTTGTAGATCTTATCCTGCTGATAATTTTTCCTTTTTAAAGATTCTATTTATCTATTATAATTTTCAAGATAAAAGGGAAATAATGCAAAAAAAGTTAAAAATTGTCATTAAAGGGCAATAACTCCAGTAAAAAGTTGACTGGAGATTTCCAACATGTGGACTTATTTGTAGATCCTGTAGTGCTGATCATTTCTGCTGTTTAAAGATTCTATCTATCTTATATAATTTTTAAGATATTAGGCAATATCACAAAAAATTGGTAAAAAATCATCATTATAGGGCAATCACTCTAATAAGGAAAGGACTGAAGATTTTGGATATGTTGACTTATTTGTAGATCCTGTTGTGCTGATAATTTTTGCTGTTTAAAGATTCTATCTATCTTATATAGTTTTTAAGATATTAGGCAAAACGCCAAAAATTGGTAAAAATCCTCGTTAAAGGGCAATAACTCAAATAAGGAGTCATCTGACAATTTTGGACATGTTGACTTATTTGTTAATTGTAGATCTTGTCTTGCTGATCATTTTTGACATTTAAAGTTTCTATAAATCTTTCATAATTTTCGAGATAACAGGCAAAAATTTTAAAACATGATAAAATTTGTCATTTAAGGGCAATGTTCTATTTTTAGTCATGCCCCCATCTTGGCAGGCAAGGTCATCAGACACATTTTTTTAACTAGATACCCCAATGATGATTGTGGCCAAGTTTTTGGTTAAATTTGCCCCAATAGTTTCAAAGGAGAAGATTTTCATAAAAGTAAACAGACAAGGACGACAGACGCCAAGAGATGAGAAAAGCTCATGTGAGCTAAAAATAAGACAAAGCTGCAAAAAATCATCAGTTCAATCCTTATTGGAGTTATTGCCCTTTAAGAAAATTTTTATATTTTTTGTGCTTAGGGCAAAAACTAAAGAAGATAGAGAGAAACTGTTAACAGAAAACATGATTAGCATTTCAAGATCAACAAAAAAGATTTTAGTCAGGAATGTTACTAGTCTAAAACATTGGAGTGTCCATTGTTGAAGATGCAAAAAGACCTAGGTGATAGAAACAATCAGGCTCTTTAGAGCCTCTAATTTTAAAAATTTGGTCCACTTTAATTTCAGATTTAATTTCTACAAAAGGCTAGAAATATACTATTTACTATTGGTGCATTATAACTGCCATGATGAATCAACATTTTAAATAAAATACTCAAGAACTGTTTTTGTTAAACTAAAAATCTGTATAAAGCCTTAAATCTTTATTTCGCCACTACTTTAATATAAGATAAAAAGGTAAACAGGAATTACTTAAAATATTAGACAATACAACAAACCACATCAACCACTGACCCCTAAAGTGATGTACAAGCAAAGACAAACAAAAACATAAAGTTCAGATAGCTTGACTTAGTAAAGGCATAAAATGTGGTAGATTTAAACCTGCTTTATGTGCTCAAGAATTAAAAATTGCTGACATTGCTATGTAATTAACAACCTCATCTGATAATGTTTTTGAAGTATGACTTAAAATTTACTTACAATAATAAAATACTGAAGGTTTATAATATTACAGCCTTCTAGAATGGATGGTGGTAATGATGGTATAGTTGATGCACCACTGTATGTCTGTGTAGAATTTTTCTTCACACGAACAGGCTGGTTGAACATGCTAAAGTTTTCATTTTTTGTATGATAATGAGGTTTTCCGGATGAGAAAAAACTGTCTGAATAACCTGTGAAAGTTGCAACCTGGAATAGAAAAGAAACATACAATAATTCCATTGTCAAACTATTATATTATGACAATTGTGAGAAAAAATCCCCATAACAAGTTAGTAGGGCATGTCCCCTTCCCTAGGACTAAATCTTTGATGCACTAGAAAGGTTATACCAAAGCAATTAAAAATATATATGGTTTTATTGTTTATGGGTAAGGATTTAAACAGTTTTCAAGATATTTAACAAATAGTATATATCATGGAAATAAATATAAACAAGTCTAAATTGAAAAAAAATAAATATATATATACAAGTGTATTTCTTTTATTTTCTTTTTTTTTGTGTGTTTAAATGTACAGTGCATGACCACCCCAAGATAACAAAACTAATTTTTTACCAAATAAATTAGTATCTCATGATGCAAAAACTTTTGAGAGTTGTCTCCCTATAAGACAAGAGTGCACAAGCTGAAATGTCTTGCCTGCTTTACTGACCACAATTTTATGTTGATAGTCCTAAATATAAAGCTTTACCACAAGTATCACACAAACTTAACATTATCCAAGAAAATGAGGTAAAGGTCAGATAAACTAAACCGGAAATACATGTACACCTTACAATCAATCCATACACCAAATATAGTTGACCTATTGCTTATAGTTCCTAAGAAACAAACTTAATCAGGAAAACTGAAGATTGACCAATGAACAATGAAAATGAGGTCAAGATCAGATGAACCATGCCAGACAGACATATACACCTTACAATTATTCCATACACCAAATATAGTTGACCCATTGCTTATAGTATATAAGAAAAAAACTTAACCATGAAATCTTAACATTGACCAATGAACCATGAAAATGAGGTCAAGGACAGATGACACCTGCCAGTTGTACATGTACACAATCATTCCATACACCAAATATAGTAGACCTATTACTTATAACCTTGTTCACTGATCCATGAAATGAGGTCGAGGTCAGATGAAAACTGTCTGACAGGCATGAGGACTTTGCAAGGTACGCATATACAAAATATAGTTATCCTATTACCGGTAATCATAATAAAAGAGAAATTAACTTTACAAAAAATCTGAACTTTTTTTTCAAGTAGTCACTGAACCATGAAAATGAGGTCAAGGACCATGGACATATGACAGACAGAAACTTCATAACATAAGGCATCTATATACAAAGTATGAAGCATCCAGGTCTGGCACCTTCTAAAATATAAAGCTTTTAAGAAGTTAGTTAACGCCGCCGCTGCCTCCACCGGATCACTATCCCTATGTCCAAAAATGAACTTCTAAATTGTATTTTCCTATGATTTATTGAAGCAATATAAACACTTCTAAGTAGTCAAATACACAAACTAAAACAAAGATAAACAGACTATTCCCATCAACATCATTTAGATATTTCCCCCTTGGTATATTTTTCTTATTTTATGAGAATTAAAACTCAGAAAAAGAATAAATGATGACCTACATACCTGACGTAACATTAGATAAAACTCAGATATTGTATTGTCACTTTGATTATTAATCATAACTTCATAAATAAGAGGTTCCCCTGGGACAAAAGCTGTCTTGTTTATACTTAAATCCAACTCCACAGAGCCATCTTCACAGCAGCAACCTTCAATTGTTTCATTACGATGTTCATAAATGGGATTCTACAAAAAAAAAATTCAAACTGCAGGCTTTTGAGCTATCAATACTATACTATACTCTATAAAGCTAAGGCAGGATGTAGTGCTGTAACGTGAAAATGAGTTTGAACTGACTCCAATGATCCAAAATTCTGTAATGAGGAGTATCTAAATTGCACACGTTTTACTTCATAAACGAAAAATCAAATAACTTAATATGTTTTGTTTTAATTTTCCCACATTTTTTTAACAATTTGACAATAGTCCATGCTTTAAATGCATTTTGTAAGAGGTGGATCCTAAGGCATAATTTAATTGTTCATTTTGTTTGGCATGTGATGTTTCTGTAAGGGCTATGTTAAAAGACGTGCATCATGATAAAGGATTAAATTACAAATTGTTAAGTCTCTAAGAAAACCTATAACATTTCTGGCTATTTTTTGGCAAAATTGGTGCAATTTGGGTACAGTACTGCAACATTAGACACAATGTTTATCTTATAATTACATCTGACATAAGAGTGCAACTTTTAAATGGTTGATGGCCAGTAAATGTCCTACATTTTTTACTTTTTTTTTCTTTCACAAATATGCATACTTTTTAATTAGTCCATTGGATATGCCTTTAATACCTTTTCTGTTATGATACATATTTCTTTTTTACCCTTGCAAGTCGCTTCCAGTTGGAACTATCAACAATGTTCTGTGTTGTGTACATGTTCTTAACATGATGAATTTAGATCCTAACCAATGCATCGAGTGTGATACAATATTTCTCCACTAGAGATAGTCATATATTCAAATCTAAAACATGAGGCTTGCCGAACATTTTAAATATTTAAAATTGAACTATCCAGAGTGGAAAAATATCGTACTGCACGAGATTTGGTGGTAGAATCTGTTTCTCTAATGACTTGCAGACAAAATCAATCCTTAAGTTCTCATCCAATGATCTGCTAAAAGATGTGTTCTTTCTATGTAACATCATCGGGCATGGTTGCCTTTTTTCGTTACGTTATAATAGGAAATTCAGGGGAAAGAAAAAAAGTTTGATGGTATAATTGAATTTTGACCAATGAAGAACTGAGATCAAACAAACCACACGTTGATTAAATAAAAATAATCAACAGTCAGGAAAAGGATAAATGGGCAAAGAATACACCTTATCGCTATTCCCGGCTGACCCGAGAATCTGTCCCGCTTGAACTTTTGACGTCACACAACAATCACTTTTCCATTGTGGCGTCAGATATTTTGTATTGTGACGTCAAAATTTTAAGGGAACCTGTGTGATGTCCAGTAATGGCGGACAAATAGCGATAAGGTGTATTAGAGAAATGTGTATAGACAGTATCAAAAAATGTCAGGAAACAGCACACAGAATTAAACGAATTACAACTATTCTTTCATACTTCTTCATTTAAATAGTTTCATTCTTAAGGATGTATTTAATATCTATAACATCATAAATACTTAAAGTTAGCGAATTAACTAAGTATGCCCAAAACTAGCAAATCAAGGCCTATTGGTTGTTATAATTTTGTATAAAATATTGAATTGATTTGTTTTTTAATATAAATGTTATATATGCTAAAATTGCCAACCTGTGAAAATAGTTACTACATGTATAAGATAATCTAGGTCAAGTTTACAATGAACATATGCCATCAATTACAAAGTGATGGCAATATTTCCTTCAAGCTTCTAAGACCAAGGTTAGCTAAATGTTTACTAAATTTACTCACATTCCAGCATATCTGAAAAGTTGTCTCTCATTTCTAATTTCAGTATAAGTATAATATGAACTGCAAATATTTTCATATCATTTTTGAAAACTCCAGTCCAACTTACCAGAGCATTGAGAAGCTGGCTGCAGTCTAAATGATGGATGACAGTAAAGGGTTCTTTTATTGTTTCATTAAATTTCCAAGGTCGATCAATGACAGCACTGCATGTGTATCTGACATATCCCCTACGACCTTCATAGGATGATGGGGTCTCTGAATTCAAAGGGAAGTTAAACGGATAAGTTGCATATCCAGCTGGGTGCATCTGAGACCCATCCATGCCTGAAAGTATGAGGCGAACAGAAAAAATTAATTTGCATATAAACATGATTTATTCCACTGTTGACCAATCATAAGACCTAGTCAGTTGTACTCATTATAAATGAAACACTTGATAGAGGCTGACTTTTTCCTGTTTAATACATGTATATTTTAAAAAAGTTTTTGTCTTGTTAGAAATAAATGGTGTACATTTAATGCATTATATCTTATAAATGATTATCTACATGTGCCAAAAAATATTATGATATTAGGAAGGCCTTCAATTTCTAAATATCTCTGTTGAGTTGTGCTATTACTGTGGTATTAAAATAAAACAGCTGTGACGGAAACCCATTCAACACCCTTTTAATGCAAATTGAAAAATTCATCATTGTTGATGTTGCAAGAAGAAAATGGAATATTGAGAAGGGCTTTAATCAGAAGTTAGAAAAACTTGAAGTAAGCTATCCTTTGGTGTATACAAGTTGCCTGAAATTTGGTGAATAAAGTCCCATAACTCTGGAATCAGAAAAATTTCAAAATAAAAAAGCTTTCTTTTACCAATCCAAAAAATATATATAATAACGTTTCAAATAACTTGACATAAGCATACTCAAGCTCTAGACCAGGATATATTAAAAATTGCCTTAAACTTGATAGTTAAAGTCCCTTAACACTAAAACAACAAACCATAAAATTTTCAATATTGAGAGGGAGCTTAATTTTGTCAATTCCAACAACAGTGAAAAGTTTCATGCAAATTGATCCAAGCATATTTAAGTTAGAGAGTTATATGTGAAAAGTGCCTTAAATCTAACGGTTAAAATCCTGTAATTCTTGATCAACAAATTAAAAATTTACAAAATAGAACAGGAGCTTTCATATGCCATTTCTAATATTCTATACAAGTTGCATGAAATTTGTTAAAGAATTGCTTTTGTACCATGTGTGGAGGGATACCTATAACATAATATATCCCATCTAAGACAGGGGTATGAAAAGACGAGTAGCAGTGAAAACCCTTATTCATATGATTGAAGATACCAGTGGATTTATTTTTATTCATGGGATATCAATTTTCGTGGATTACTTGGTTACAGCAAACCTCAAATTCAAGAATTCAACAAAGAATAATCCCAACACTCAAGTTATGATTGTGTAAGGAGTCTTATTTCAATTCATTGTTGGTTGATGATTATGTGTTGTTACTTGCCTTCAACAATAACCATTTTTGGGAAAATGTTGTTGAATAATAAGAGAACCTCTTGCACTAGATTATTTTTTAGATTTAGAACGGTGTCTTTGAATGCAACAATGCACAGAAAGATTTGTTAAAATTTTGCAGTTAATAATACACACAATTTGTTCACTCTTTTAAATCTAAGATTTCAATCATTTACAAAGAATTTAAAACTTTTTTTTTTATTCTTGAAAATTGGATCCATGAATTTATGTATCCCATGAAATATCTTTTATCATTTATCAATAAAATTGATACCCTCAAATTCGAAGTATATGAAGGCATATATATTTGATGATGATTTACAAAGTTTTAGTTGAAATTACCCTTAGATACTCCACAAGGCATATAATTGGCGATAGAGAAATTGATGTCCATCCATCTGATTGGAGTAATTTACCTTTTCTTCTATCTTTAAGTACTAACCTCCCCATAGAAGTATATTCTGGCTGATATAATTTTCTCTGGCTCTGTATTTTGTGGTACTTTTCCCCTGTTTTACATCCCAGAATGACTTTCCCTTTCCTTCCAAACATAACATTAAACCTGAAAAATACATGTTTCATTTTTTATCAGGAAAAAGCTGAATTCATATGAAAAAAATCATAGATGTGGCTGAGAGGAAAATAGAGATAGAGCGGATTGTTATACCATCAAAAATAAATACTGTAAATTCAGAAATTATTGCGATGTTTTTATTATTGCGAAAAATGCGACAGGGTTGTAATCGCAATAAATTAAACTCGCATTTTGGATTTTTTTTATATGAATGAAGCGGAATTTTTCTCAGTATCGCATTTTGGTTTAAAATGACAAAATCACAATCATAAATGCACGCAATACTTTCTGAATTTACAGTATTCAACCAAGGTTAACATAATGTTGCCAGGTTTAAGACTTTAGCTTCCTATCAATTTCAGTCAATAGTAAGAGCAGTACAAAAGCAAACTATTATCATTTCAACTTTTACCATTATATGATCCATACCCACTTCTGGTTTAAAATTTCATAGGAAAAAGATTGTTAATATAAGTGTGTAACTAAAACTTATGAAAGATACTCTATCAGCATGAACCAGCTGATACAATACCAGACTTTTGACCATTTGCATTTTTGAAAACAGTTCATGTCATGTTTAAAATTTCTGAAGCCTTACGAACAAGACAGTCCCTAAAATTTCTACTTTACAATGGATGGATGGATTGATGGACAAAAAGTCATCTATAAGCTTCTAAAATAAGAATTTTCAGGAAGCACAAAAAAGTGAAAAAAATACATTTCCAGAGGATATTTTGATGAACTTACACCTCATTTTAGTTTCCTTCCCAAAGCCAACTTTGACCTTTCCTGTAATTCTATCTCCTGCCACAAAAACTCTTGCTTGTACATCAAATGTAAGACTAAAGTGAGTCAACTTCATCTTGTCTCAGAATTCTGAAAAATAAAATATCATTGAAGTATTATAAGATATAAGAAAATTGTTCTTAATTGCATATATGACTGATTTAACTTCTGCACACTTTTTCTAACATGCAAAATGTCCATTACACCTACCAGTGTGTACTAACATTGTTTTACAGAATTTGCAGTCATGTTATCAAATCAGGATACATTTATATATATATATATATTACTGTACTGTATTTATTTCAACCCCCAAGGGTGACTGGGGAATTGAAGTATGGTCACCATTGGTCTTCCTCCGACCGGCAGTAAAACCCTTGCTAAAGTGGGGCATCCGTTTGGCTGTGCGGGATGTACAAATTTGCAGCCACGTCCGGTCAGAATGGGGACGTTAAATCGATGCCTCGTGTAAAGAGAGTGCCACGCTCTTTGCACGCTAAGAACCCTTGCAACAACTCTTTGAGGGGTCCGTAGGTGACCTGTTGCAAGGCTAAATTTATGTCCCTATTCAATATTCCCTCATTTTCCGTGGCAGTCTAAATTTCGCTGACCTTAACCCTGGACGCCCCTATTACAGAACCTATCTATTGTATTTATTGTTAATTTGTTTTCGTCCTGAATATGCATGAAAAATTTGCCACTGGATGTTAAGCAACCATCAATCAATCAATCAATCAATCAATCAATGTATTTATTTCACATTATCAATGCAAGATGCTTAAAAGATGTACTAATATTTATAATAGTTAAAACATACTTGATATTTAAGAACGAAACTCTTCATAAAAAAGAGCAAAAACAAAATTGGCACAATCACAATAAATAAATTGTCATGATGACATGGTTAAGAACACCTTCAATGGCCCTGTGTACTTTGACAATCACATTATTGCCATGACAAACACTACAGGACTTGCCTAACTTTCAGCACACCTGATATCACCCAAGATTTTTGATGAGGTTCATGTTGCTCAGTCTTTAGTTTTCTGTGAAGTGTTTTGTAGACTGTTATTTGTCTTTCGTCTTTTTAATTTTGGGCCATAGTATATCCAAAGGGCTTTAAAACAAAAGTAGAATGGACCGTTGTCAGATCTATCCTTGTAAGCAGAGCGTGGAAACAGAATCAGTATTTTTATCAGATTGAGAAAATCAGACTCTGTGCCATAACGACAAGAATGCTTAGTGGTCTTATAGTTCAGTACGCAAGTCTGCTATTTCTTTTTTTTAATAATAGGCATATTTTTCCTGTCAAAAGCTACAATGTACCAGTTACTCCCATCTGGCAGTTCATAAAATAATTAAGTGTTGTATAGGTAAAATCTCTTTTTTGTTTAATCTAATTTAGACAGGTAAATACTGAGTTTTCTGTTTTTTAACTTGTCAATGGATGATATGCATGCAGAGACACGACATCGTCACTTTCTGATGTCTTTGAATTTGGAAAACTTACTGCTGTCAGATAAAGCAATATATAATAAAATTGAGATAGAAACAGGGAATGCACAAAAGAGACAACTACCCGACCAAAGAGCAGAAAACAGCCCAAGGCCACCAATGGGTCTTCAACACAGTGAGAAAATCCCACACCCGGGTCAGGCTTCAGCTGGCCCCTAAACAATAATGTATACTAGCTTACTTTAGCATGTAAATTTTTTTTCAAAAGAAAAAAGTTTATAAATTTCAAAATCAAATTTTATGCACTTCTTCAATACAGTGAAACTTGTTAATTTCAAATGTCTTAAATTTGTGATAACTTCAGCAACTGTTTTCCAAATAAAATCTTACGATTAAAATGGATCATATATGATACTCAAATTTTCATTACTTACAAATAATTTCATTTGTAAAATTTGTTCTGAAAAAAGTCCCAGATTTAGAGAAGGAAGAAAACCTTCTGAAGTATTGGATGGAAATGATGGTGTGTTTGGTTTGTCAAGATATACATTTGTACATGTAACTTCTGTTCTTCTTCCTTGAAAAAAGGCAAAGTACATGTATGACATTAATGTCCGGATAAAGAATAAATACAGTCATTTAGCAGCTAAATTCATAACTGACTGCAACTGGTTCTTGCACCCACTCTAATAACCTGCTTTTTGTTGCTATTCATAAGAGTAAAAGTCTGACTATATGGTGCTAAATCGAACTTTCTGTAACCCTTCATACATTGTGATATGTCACAACCATAATTCCAAACTGATTATATTGTCTTTTCCTCTTTCCGGAGTATAACATAACAGTACTGAAATATTGCACCAACATACCTGCTAACTTTTCAAAATCTCCATGGGGGATTCTAAGCGCAAGATGACCTAATACTCCTGTTATATTGTTATAAGTGTTTTTAATCTCCTACTATATTGTTTGAATGAGTATATATGTGCTTAAATACCCTTTTAACTCATTAGAATGCCTGTTTTGGAGTTTTCAGTTTATAAAACAAAGAATTTCAAAATTCATGTTAACACCTCTCATGGGGGAAATCCCCAATAAATCATGTACATTGGAAGGTTTGCATCAATTACATATTTTGCACCCATTTTAAAAAAAAAAAGCAGCTGAAATCTTATAGATTTTCTTAGAAACTAAACAATTTGCATTTTTATCAATTGCCATTATGCATGCCTTCAACAGAGCTGATAAATATATTTAAATATTGTACACAAAACCGTCACATTTTATATAACAGCTGAAGTTTACAGTGGAAACAGGAAAATCTACAGAGACAGTGCATGCAATGTCCACAAAAATTCTAATTTTAAAAATGAACAATTAAAATATGTCACCTGCAACCATTACTTAAATACTAAATGAATTGTACCCGGTAAGCATAGATTATTTTCAAATTGTTACAAAAATGTAGAAAAATAAAACAAAACATTAGTTATTCTATTTTTACAGATTGTATATATATTATAAATTAAGCATGGATGCAATTTAGGTACATGTTCTCATTACTATATTTGTATTACAGAGAAGTTAAAATGGCATCTGAACACTTTCATTCATGAAATTTTTTATACACAGGATTTGTTTCTCTTCAACATGAAGACGGGAGTGGACACCTGAAAAAGGGATTATTGTACTCACGCTGTGAGGTTCACATATATGAAATACAGAAAGGAATCTTTTGTCCGTTTCTTAATTAGGTTCATCCTAACAACTGGAAATAAAATGCTCTGCTGGGCGCAGCTTGATAAGACCGCAGAGGTCGAACCCTGAACAGTTGGGGCAAGTATGGACACAACATTCAAGCCTGATACAGCACTGAATTTGGATTGTGATTAAATATTTGACACAGCATAGATTTCTGACACAGAATGAATGTGGTCTAAGAACTTGAAAATTTTTAATTTACCTAATCAAACCATATCATTATTATTTGCTTTTATATATAAATCAAATAACCAATTTAAAATAGAACATTTTAAAGAAAAAAAAAGGAAAAAAAGGGAAAAAAAATCCCTCCCCCAAATTTTTTGAACCCCCTTATGATTCATCACCCACAAACTCAATCCCACCCTTCCCTTTGTGGTATGGTACCATGCAGTACAATTTCAGAGAGATCCATACACTTGAACACAAGTTATTGTCTGGAAACTAGAAAAATGCTTGTTTTTAGGCCTTTTTTTGCCCCAAATTCCTAAACGTTTAGGGTAATTACCCCCAAACTCAAACCCAGCTTTCCCTTTGTAATATGGAACCTTGTAGTACAATTTCAGAAAGATCCATACACTTACACACAAGTTATTGTCCTGAAACTAGAAAAATGCTTGTTTTTGCCCCTTTTTGGCCCCTAATTCCTAAAATTTTGAGGCAATTACCCCCAAAATCAATCCCAGCCTTCCCTTTGAGGTATGGTACCTTGCAGTACAATTTCAGAGAGATCCATACACTTGAACACAAGTTATTGTCTGGAAACTAGAAAAATGCTTGTTTTTAGGCCCCTTTTTGGCCCAAAATTCCTAAACATTTAAGGCAATTACCCCCAAACTCAAACCCAGCTTTCCCTTTGTGATATGGAACCTTGTAGTACAATTTCATAAAGATCCATAAACTTAAACACAAGTTATTGTCCTGAAACTAGAAAAATGCTTGTTTTTTGCCCCTTTTTGGCCCCTAATTCCTAAAATTTTGAGGCAATTACCCCCAAAATCAATCCCAGCCTTCCCTTTGTGGTATGGAACCTTGCAGTACAATTTCAGAGAGATCCATACACTTGAACACAAGTTATTGTCTGGAAACTAGAAAAATGCTTGTTTTTAGGCCTTTTTTTGCCCCTAATTCCTAAACGTTTTGGGCAATTGCCCCCAAACTCAATTCCAGCTTTCCCTTTGTGATATGGAACCTTGTAGTACAATTTCAGAAAGATCCATACACTTACACACAAGTTATTGTCATGAAACTAGAAAAATGCATGTTTTTTGCCCCTTTTTTGGCCCCTAATTCCTAAAATTTTGAGGCAATTACCCCCAAAATCAATCCCACCCTTCCCTTTGTGGTATGGTACCTTGCAGTACAATTTCAGAGAGATCCATACACTTGAACACAAGTTATTGTCTGGAAACTAGAAAAATGCTTGTTTTTAGGCCCCTTTTTGGCCCAAAATTCCTAAACATTTAAGGCAATTACCCCCAAACTCAAACCCAGCTTTCCCTTTGTGATATGGAACCTTGTAGTACAATTTCATAAAGATCCATAAACTTAAACACAAGTTATTGTCCTGAAACTAGAAAAATGCTTGTTTTTTGCCCCTTTTTGGCCGCTAATTCCTAAAATTTTGAGGCAATTACCCCCAAAATCAATCCCAGCCTTCCCTTTGTGGTATGGAACCTTGCAGTACAATTTCAGAGAGATCCATACACTTGAACACAAGTTATTGTCTGGAAACTAGAAAAATGCTTGTTTTTAGGCCTTTTTTTGCCCCTAATTCCTAAACGTTTTGGGCAATTGCCCCCAAACTCAATTCCAGCTTTCCCTTTGTGATATGGAACCTTGTAGTACAATTTCAGAAAGATCCATACACTTACACACAAGTTATTGTCATGAAACTAGAAAAATGCATGTTTTTTGCCCCTTTTTTGGCCCCTAATTCCTAAAATTTTGAGGCAATTACCCCCAAAATCAATCCCAGCCTTCCCTTTGTGGTATGGTACCTTGCAGTACAATTTCAGAGAGATCCATACACTTGGTACACAAGTTATTGTCTGGAAACTAGAAAAATGCTTATTTTTGGCCCCTTTTTGGCCCCTAATTCCTAAACGTTTTGGGCAATTACCCCCAAACTCTATTCCAGTTTTCCCTTTGGGATATGGAACCTTGTAGTACAATTTCAGAAAGATCCATAAACGTTCACACAAGTTATTGTCATGAAACTAGTAAAATGCTTGTTTTTTGCCCCTAATTCCTAAAACTTTGAGGCAATTACCCCCAAAATCAATCCAAGCATTCCCTTTGTGATATGGAACCTTGTGGTACCACGTCAGAGAGATCCATACACTAACACACAAGTTATGTCTGGAAGTTACAAAAATGCTTATTTTTGGCCCCTAATTCCTTAACTGTTGGTACCATAACCCCCAAAATCAATCCCAACCTTGCTTTTGTGGTATTGAACCTTATGGTAAAATTTCATAGAGATCCAGTCACTTAAACTAAAGTTAGAGTGCGAAAACCAATGTATCTTCGGACTACGACGACGACGATGACGATGACGATGACGCCGACGACGCCAATGTCATACCAATATATGACCGCAAAAAATTTTGCGGTCGTTTAAAAAATGGCTTTGTTTACACCTCAAAATTTACTGTGAGTACAGACAAACCTGTGCAGTTAAAACAGTTTTAAGGCCTAGTTTTCACATCTATTTAAAACCAAATAACTGCAGCTTTAAACAATATTTATCAAATCAATTTCATTATAGATGAATAGCAGACATTTCAAAGGTGTAAAGAACTGAAATTTAGGGCAATCAGTCAAAGAATTACTAAGAAATACTTCTTTGAAAAATTTTTTTCATTCAGGAAATTGGCCGAAAATCGTTGTCCGTTTTTCGGTCCTTTGCGGTAAGTCCCGAAATTTTTTCTAAGTTTAAAAAATAATCATATTTGTTATAAAAATATAATTTAACGGCATATTTCTTCCATTTCAGTAATTCTTTGAAGTTTCTACACCTCAAAATCATAAAACGGTGAAATTGTGTCCCTGGCGAATATGTGCGCCCCACTCTATATATAAATACATTAAAAATAAAATATTATTCTAGACAGTTAACTATTCTAGATTTTCTTTAAAAGGGAAATTTAATGTTTAATATGAATATATCCAGGGTCTTATTGGGGGGATCGCCCAGCCTCACATTGTTCATTGACTTGTCGTGGCGAGAAGGCTCCACTTTGGTGGTCCAAAATGAACACATTGGGGAATCGTATATGCAATCCCTCTATAAGTCTTCACATTTTGATTTCTTTGGTCGCCATGATGGATGTTTTCACTAATTGACTATTTTAAATTAATAAATTCTTTGTATGTTATATTATGATCTTCTAATGCAATATTATTTATTAATCAATGTTTAAAAGTCACCAATATATGCTATAATTAAAATTTCAGGTGTAATTCGGTCATTCCAGGTGTTATTCAGATAATGACGGCATCATTTCGACCTACCGATTAGTGATCATTAGTGAGACCCTTTAAAATAATAAAATAGTTGCAATTTGGGTACCCTCACTTTACCTGTTTGACACTATTCAAGAAAATTGTGAATGTATGATGGTTACTAGACCAGTTGCCTGTTTAACATTATCTACTATTTAAAATAGACAAGTTAAAAGAGGATAGGTCTGTATATTGACATAATAAGTTCTATTCTAATTTCTACGTACTTTTACTTTGTCGAGAGGAATATTCTCACAGCTACACAATAATGTGAATACATATTTTTGCTGCCTTACATCTGGGAAGAGTATAACTAACTCTCAATAAAAATTATGTCCCAGATGTCAATTTTTATTAGTTGATTCATTCTTTCAAGGTAATTAAATATTTCGAAATCCTGGCAATAATATGAGTGTGGGGAGTGAAACCATTTGTACTGTATCAATCTGTTCATTTATGTAAGCAGTTCTCCTTTAAATGGAGCACTAATAAGAAATTTTATAACGTAACAGTACACTTAGTCCACTAACATAAATAAGCACTCGCATTGTTTTCAAAATTTCATCTCTTTCTGTCCAGACTAGTTATTTAATTTCAAGTAGTCATAACTCTTTATTAAGTGTTTTTAATAACTTCTTGATTCTCACAGCGGCCCACCAGCTAAATGAACAAATATATATGTATTTGTATGAGTTACATTTTTATCAATTATGTTATTAATTATAACCATCTTCAATGTTTGGATATCTGAGAAGGAGTGTTTTTTATATGTTGTTTTCTTTTATGTTTCTCTATTTATGTCTAATTATATGTATTTGTATTTAATGTGATAAAAACTCTTTACAGGGCCCTTTAATTAGAAATAAAATATTCTTATTCTTAATATTCTTATTTTTATTCTTATATATGCTGTGTATTTCTTAATATATGGCAAATATTTCAAACATTAACTTTATGTGTTTGCAATAAAGTTAAAACAAAGTTTATGTTTTCATTGGAAAGTAAGACCCAAGTGTTCACATTGATGTAGGGACGTGTAGAAAAGTAAGACACAGGTGTTCACACTGATGTTGGGACGTGTGGAAAGTTAAGACCCAGGTGTTCACATTGATGTTGGGACGTGTGGAAAGTAAGACCCATGTGTTCACATTGATGTTGGGACGTGTGGAAAGTAAGACCCAGGTGTTCACATTGATGTTGGGACGTGTGGAAAGTAAGACCCATGTGTTCACATTGATGTTTGGACGTGTGGAAAGTAAGACACATCTTTTCACATTGATGTTGGGACGTGTGGAAAGTAAGACCAAGGTGTTCACATTGATGTCCGGACGTGTGAGATTCCTTTTGCATGGCTTTGAAGTATAGGCGAATGGAGATGGGGGGGGGGGGGGGGGGGGGGGGGGGGGCTGGTGGCCCGGCCCCCCTTTTGTGGGAAAAATTTGGTTGATTATATATGGAATCACTGAAGCATGACTGTAGCGCCCCACCCCCTTAGGTCAGTCTGCGCCCCCCCCCCCCCTTATTAAAAGTTCTGGATCCGCCACTGTCAGAAGTTAATTAAACTCGTTCCTTTCTCCTATGTAATTCTAACACTATTTGTTCCGCGAAATTTAAATACGTATCAGTTTTGTTAACAGAAAATTAAAACCATACTTAATATTAAGTATATATATATAAGTCGTTGTTCCAGCAGATAATAATAATATTGTCTTCGTATGTTAAAAACATTATTTGCAATGTCTCACAACAGAGCTTGGAATAAATAGAAAAACTGGTAATCCTACATATTCTTTAACATCAATTACCAAGGATGAAATTTTACAAAATCACAAATCTGTCCTTCTTTCTTTTGGTATCAACATCAAAGAAAACGAAGAAAATTTACCGTCATTATACTGGATACCAAAACTTCATAAAACTCCATATAAAGAACGATACATAGCTGGATCATCAAATGTTCGACTAAACATCTTTTTAAAGGACTGACTACTATACTTTCTACAGTTAAAGATGGCCTTCAAAAATATTGTGATGATATATATTCTACCAGTGGTGATAACCAGATGTGGATTCTCAAAAATTCGAAAGATCTACTGCTTAATCTCCGATCACAATCTTTGCAATTTTGCAGCAACATAAAGACTTTTGATTTTTCTACTATTCCCCATGCTCAGTTGAAAGATCGACTTCACCATCAAGAGCTTTTTCTTTAAAAATGGGAATCGTAGATACAAATTTCTTGTTTTGGGTTATAATAATTCTTATCTTGTGAAAAACGACACTGAATCTACCAGAAAATATACTGAAGATGATATTATCAAAATGCTGGACTTTTTGGTCGACAATATATTTGTTGATTTTGGAGGATTGATATTTCAACAGACAGTCGGTATTCCAATGGGTACTAATTGTGCACCCCTAAAATAAGGATACTACTATACTATAAGGACTGCTTCATACCTTGATCTTTTCCTCAATATTGACACAGATGGACGACTTCACACTAAAATCTATGACAAACGGGACGATTTCAACTTCCCAGTTATCAATTTCCCATTTCTCAGCAGTAACATACCCTCTGCCCTTTCGTATGGTGTTTACATATCTCAGTTGATACGTTATGCTCGTGCATGTTCACACTATACGGACTTCATATACAGGAGTGTGCTCCTTACGCAGAAACTGCTCCAACAAAGTTATGAGGAGGAAAGATTAAAAATGACACTCCGTAAATTTTATGGACACCATCACGAATTGGTTGATCCATACGATGTGTCTCTGTCCAAACTAACTAAGGACATTTTTATCACGTCTTAGATTGGAAATATACTGAAGATGATATTATCAAAATGCTGGACTTTTTGGTCGACAATATATTTGTTGAGTTTGGAGGATTGATATTTCAACAGACAGTCGGTATTCCAATGGGTACTAATTGTGCACCCCTACTGACCGATTTGTTTTTGTACTCGTATGAAGCAGAATTTATTCAGAACGTTCTAAAAGACAAAAAGAAAAAGCACCTTGCGAATTAAATTCTTTAATTTTACTTTCAGATATATCGATGATGTTCTATCATTGTATAACCCAAATTCTGTTACTAGAAGGACTGCTTCATACCTTGATCTTTTCCTCAATATTGACACAGATGGACGACTTCACACTAAAATCTATTACAAACGGGACGATTTCAACTTCCCAATTATCAATTTCCCATTTCTCAGCAGTAACATACCCTCTGCCCCTTCGTATAGTGTTTACATATCTCAGTTGATACGTTATGCTCGTGCATGTTCACACTATACGGACTTCATATACAGGAGTGTGCTCCTTACGCAGAAACTGCTCCAACAAAGTTATGAGGAGGAAAGATTAAAAACGACACTCCGTAAATTTTATAGACACCATCACGAATTGGTTGATCCATACGATGTGTCTCTGTCCAAACTAACTAAGGACATTTTTATCACGTCTTAGATTGTGGTTTGCCATTACGTCGTCTGATCTCTTAAGTACCGAACATGATCTTTTCCCGATTGTGACTGTTTTGCTGAGTGTGAATTCGCATTGCTATAAGACGTGTCACGGTATTTTGCTATACAAAATTCTTGTATTTAGTTTTGATGTTATATTTGTTATTGTCAAATGTCTTATCGTTTGTAGTTGCAATTCTTACTTTTTTCTGTTCTATTCGTGTGTGAGTGTAAAGATAATTCATCACCCAGTTCATTTATAAGATTTTAGTTTGGGTCAACTAAACTTACACTATGTATTTGGTTTTCAGTTTGATTTAGAAGAAATACCGACATAGCTAGATAATACAATTAATTATCTAATTACTAACACAATTTTATATTAATAAGTATTGTAATTTTCATTGTTATTAAATAGATGTAATATCAGTATTACAAACCTAATCTTGAACTGTATCCTATTTTTTGGAAATTTTTAGAAATTTACCTGTGACGTCACTTTGGTGCGTTGATCTATTCGGCTGACATACCATGCGTTTTTCGGCTGTGCTGTTTTTATGTGCTGATCTAGGTTGTTTTACGTATTCGTTTTTATTCTGTAGTTAGTCACCACTTCGGTGTTAACATGTATATCAATTATATGGTCATTTTTATATTTTATACATTTACTGTTTGCAAAAATATGAATTATTCTAAATACTAAATATTTTCTTATCCCAGGCAGATAACCTAGTCGTATTTGGCACAACTTTTTGGAATTTTGGTCATCAATGCTCTTCATCTTTAGGCCTGGCACCTATTAGCTTGTCGTAATGTTCTATTGTATTGTTTATTTGTGTGTTGTTTCTCTCTGTCCTGTATGTTCTTCCATTTGTTTGTAGCGTAGTCCTGTCATGTAATGTTGTCATTTTAGTGTTATAATTAACATTGCCATTAAAGCGGAAGGTTTGGCTAGCCACAAAACCAGGTTCAACCCACCATTTTTTTCTTAAAATGTCCTGTACCAAGTCAGGAAAATGGCTATTGTTATCTTAAAGTTCGTTTCTGTGTGTGTTGCATTTTAGTGTTTCTGTTGTGTCTTTGTTTTCCTCTTATATTTGATGTGTTTTCCTCAGTTATAGTTTGAAACCCGGATTTGTTTTTTCTCAATCGATTTATGAATTTCGTACAGCGGTATACTACTGTTGCCTTTATTTACACATATATACTTTCACGGTACTACAATCTGTCGATACCTATATTTTGGCATTGCACAAGGTCACATTTTTCTCTGACTCTTAATTGGGTCTTTACACTAAATCCATTAGATGTTGGATGTGTACTGATTGATATTTTAGTCTTAGATACATGATTTTTTTATTAGTTGTTATTGGCTTTGTAGCTGTTAGTAACTGCGAGTACTCTCAGATGGGTTACACTAATGACTGGACCGAATGACAAGACCAAAATGAAAAATGCTAATAACTTTTTTATTTCTCAAAGGATTTATCTCAAATGTGAAATATAATAAGATGTCATCATTTAAAACATAAATATGCGAGAATAGAAAGCGAAAAAAAAAATTTAAAGCTTTAGAAAACACGACCCGACAAACGTTGACAATGACCTGACCAACATCGGCAATGACCTGACCGATGAAAAGTCCTAATTGCTTTGTCAATTTTACTTACAAACTTTTTAAATCGTTAAATGTTGATCCATAATTAATAAGATATTACTAAACAAATCGGGAAAACATATTTTTTGGGATAAAAAACTTGACCTGACCAACGTTGACTGTGTCCTGATCGTTGTACTGATAAAGGGAAACTACTTATTCATAAGTTAAGGATTTGCTTCAAATTTATGAAAACATTAAGATTAAACTGTTAAGTTTATTATCAAATAAAAAAAAACTGGGGAAAAAAACCAGTTAAGGGGTAAAAAAACGTGACCTGACCAATGCACAC